CTTCAATTTTTTCTTTGTAATTTGAAAATTAAGCGCACTATATAGGTGATTTTCGATGAATAGTTTCCCTTTATAATTATTTCACTATCAATCGATTTTGTTTTGGACCGACTTACGTAATATATTCTAAAGAAAGGGGGAAAAGGGGAATATATTGTGAAAAGCATTAAAACAATTTAAAATTAAGTAAACTAAATAAATGGCAATATAAAAGCAAAGGGACATGCAAAAGAAGTTATAAAGCTACAAAGACAATTTACTTATATTAACGATATTTTCTATTTAAAAATATATATGTAATTCAAATTACTTTTGATTTTGTTGTAAATTACGACATATTGAACATTTAAAGTGGCTGCCCTTAACATATAAACGTATCGATTTCAAACAAGGAAAACATATATGATGACCACATTCCAAAACAGCATACTAAAAATATACATACATATACACACATTAAATTAAAAGCAATTTTGTAAATATCATCTCTTACTCTATCATCTTCGGTTAAACGGCATATAGGACAGGGACCCGGATCATCATTGCCCTCTAAATGTTTAATATTATCTTAATCGGGCCAATTTTATGGTAAATTGATGTTGAGCATTCACAAGTTCATTTTGTTGTTCCAATAAACGTCCTTCAATTTCATTTTCCATTATCTTAAAAATAGATTTATCTTCGGCATCATCGGTTAAAGTGATGCGCATTTACACATATTCAATTCATCATAAGCTTTAATCGTATATTCCATTTCAATCCAAAATTTTATTAAACGCTTACAAAACAATTGCATATTTTCCAAATACAACCAGCACTTTTCCATAATATTGATTAAAATACGATGTTTGTTTTTAATGAAATGGAATGTTACTGTAATTGAAAATATGTAGTAATCTAGCTGATGTGTGTTGAAATAATTTAAACTTACATTTACAAAGATACATTTCAAAGGAAGGATTTTCCAAACCTTCTGTATCATTTGTCTCCTTATCAATAACTTTATCAAATAACAGACATTCGAAAGCATTCATGGAGTTACGTATGGAGCATAATTTACACAAAATTTTCTTTTTGGGAGTCTTTTTTTGTTTCTCTATATCCTTTTTGGATTTTTGTACTTCCTAAATATTAAATTTCAAATTTTCAGCAATATGTATATTAAAAATACTTTATTGCAAACTTACTCTTATTTCACTTAAATGACAATCATAAACAGAATTCACCAAATGCATAATATTTCTCCAGATAGCTGGACTTACTTGATTGCGTGCCCGTACATTCTCACTGAAATAATTTAAATCCTCTATTTCAGTTTGTAAAGTTTTCGAGATATCTCTCAATTTATTAAACCACAATTGTATCACATACAATAATGAACGTGAGGATTGGATCTCAACAAGTTTTACATTAGTTTGTCCAAATTTAGGCATACACCTCTTCATGTATTTTTTGCAATAAAATCGATTCATCATTGGACGAGAGTGTCTCAAGACCATCAGCCATTGTTATTATGAAATTTTCTGAGATCTCTGCACTCAACTTGTCCACTGCTGCTTCATAGCCACTTTTAACTGTTGTTAAAGTACTGGCATACGCACTTAAGTACTTCCATTCTAATTGATTATATTGTTTTTTCATATTTTTCCAAATTTATTTTAGAAATATTCGATTGTATGATTTTAATTTGCATTAGATTGTGCAGTGCATGTATTTGTAATAAGCTGTCAACACTGTGTAAAGAATTTAAATGGTTAAGATTATGACAGAATGTTATTTAGAAAAGGAATTTAATAATACTTACGCTATATTCATATCACTGTAATCGTTAGCCAGTTTTAATACTGCTTTATAATTTTTGATTGCCTCGTCATATTTTTTTGCAAAAAATATAAAGCTGCTAAACCTGAAAATTTTCAACTCACTTAATTAAAAATTGTTTTGTTTAAGTTATAAAGTTATAAAATTATAAAGTTATAAAGTTGTAAAGTTATAAAGAAAGCCTTAAGATTTCGAACATAACATCGAATTTTCTTCACAACTTACCATTATGCGATGAAGCCATGGCACGTAATTCCGATTTGCAAGAAATCTCATTTGTTGATTTCAAATAATCGTGCAGCTCTTGTGGTTGCAAAAATTGTTTTTGTTGCTGAGAATTGAAATTGTTATTCCTGTTGACATTAGAAGTTGCCACCACAACTGGTATAGAGCAGGTTTGGCGGATCTTTAAAAGGGCTGTAAAATCTAGAAAAAAAGAGAAACAATTTAAAATATGTACATAAAATCCATTACCCAAAACAAATTCTCTTACAATATTCATAACTTGTGGTGATATTGCGGTCATTCTCTTACTGTACTTATGGACATTTTCTAAGAATTTATTACGACATTCTTCATGCTGTTCATTATAGAAGAGTTTTTCTAAATTATCGAATTGTATGCGATGTACAATCTCTTCTTGTGGTGGTATGTTCAACTCTGAAGTTATCTGTGTTTTACAGGTACGCCACATACATTTTTGTAAAATGTCTATCATGGCTGGGCAGGTGGAGGCAATTGCATTATTATTCTCCAGCTGTTGCTCATGTTGATGCACGAAATCACTGACTATTTGTTGCCAGACGTAAGGTTCGCTGGCGGCCTCGAAGCCAATAAATTGTAGTAAAGGTTGTAAATCGTTAAGCGAATTCTGTATGGGAGTGCCAGTAACAGCCCAACGATGTATGGCTAAAGTTAGATAATTTAAAAGAAAAAATAGTATAAAGTATAAACTTATAATATAAAAGCAAAAAAAAACTTATAAAATAAAAGCATACCGGGTATCATACGAACTAATGAAGCAACCTTTGAGGTTTTAGATTCTACCATTTGAGCTTCATCCAGTAGCACTCTCCACCAATCCAACATAAGAATGGGTGTATTGGCTCGCATTGAACGTGGTTTATTGCGAGTTGAACGTTCACTGACATTATCTTGGGTGAAATAAACGTCGCCTCTTAATATATTGTAGTCCGTGAGTACTATATCGTAATCTGCCAGCTGGCGGGGACTTATCCATTTTCCCGATAAAACACCCTCATAAATAAAAACTTTTAAAGTTGGCTGTATATGACGTTTAATTTCCGAAGCCCATTGCATTTTAATGGTATTGGGTGAAACTATAAATGTGGCTTTTGTTTTTAACAAACCATATTCTTTTACCGCAAGCTGCCAGCAGCTAGGACATAAATATGGCGTATTGACCTCTTCGTTGTCCATATCAGAAGCAAAGAAATTGACACAGTCTTGATGTTGCCATAGCTGGCATTTTGACATTGTATGGTGTTTATTTTGAATTGGAATTACAAATGCAAATAATTTATAATCAAGGCATTTACGTTTTGCCATTGTGTTTGAAAAGAACGTCTCCATTCTTGGGCTTAAGTTGATTTCAAGACAGGAATTTAATAAAATCAATGCCAGCATTTCCACAGTTTTACCTAAACCCATTTCATCAGCTAAAATACCACCAGGAGGTAATACCAAATCATCAGGAGGATCGGCAAGTATATAACGAGAATATAAATGTTTATATACCGTAGTCTCGTTATCCTTGGCCGTAAGTTTTTCAAAAAAGTCTGGAAAGGATTCCTGATCTAGTTCTCTTTTCAGCAACCATAAAATGCTTTTTTTCTGATATTCACATAAAGTTGGCAGAAATCTTGAAGGCAGTGATAAACTACGCTGTGCAGCATTGGTTAAATCTTGTCTCATTACTTCTGTATGTTTAAGTTGTAATGCTTCAAACAGTCGGGTGGTTACGTATGTTTTTAAAACTTTATTTTCCCTAACAGAGGATGAAGATGCATGTTTTTTTAAATATGGATACACTGTATCAAGTAGCTCCTCCGTTAGTCGGTCAAAGAAATCATCCTTTTTATGGCGTATAATATTTCTGTAGACAACCACAAAATATCCGTCATAAGTTGAAGCAAATCCAAAATCTTTGGGCCTATGTTGGCCACCTAGAAATTATTTTTTTTTATAATTTATAATTGTAAAAATTTTGCATAAATATTTTTTTAATTTACATTTTTGTATAAGTTGAAATATATTTTTTGCATCATCCTTGTAGCCATCTAAAAGTAACCATTTTTTACCCTTGCACTCGAACGTTACATTTTTATTATCACACGATATTTCTTGCGTATTTGCTAATTTAGCAATTTTTGTTAAAATAATTTGATCACTCATATTTAAAACTAAATAAATTTGCGAAAATTATTTGGCTTGATTCAAACAAAACAAAATATTTGAAATTTCCTCTCAAACTAAAGTATGTTGTTTTTGTAAAAGTAAACAAAAAGAAAAAAAGTCTGGCAAGTTGTGTTAAACATTACTTAATACAGTGACTCGTAAAAATCGTTCAATTGATACACATAACCGAATTACTACAAGAATGACATAATTCAAAAAAGTCGTTTCAAGAAATATTCGAATGTTTAATGACATTTTACTATTTTTTTTTGCAACAACTAATATTCGCGAAAATTGCGCAATAACAATTGGAAATTGGAAAGGCTTTGTATTGCTATATTGAATAAATAAATAAAAAAAATAATAATAATAGTCGACTTTGACTTTTTGCCGAAAAGTTATAGCCGATGTTTTTTCACAGGTAATCGATAATTAAAAATGATTGAATATACAATTTTTTGCTAAGTATAGTTATTATTACAAAAAACAAAAAAATAAAGAAAAGCTTTTTTTATTTTTAATATAAGCATTGTGAAAAATGTCAAAAAGTGGATACAGTCGGATAAAGACGAAAAGACGATATTAAAAAAATCGAAAAGTTAACAATTTCAAAATCAAAATTTCGTATGGAAAGTTTAAAAGTCGACTTTCAGAAATTGCAAACAGTTGACATTTTGTTTGACGTAGAACCGTATTTTATAGTAAACCATTTGGAATTTCCCAACCCTGTAAAAATCGCATAAAATACTATATGTGGCATCATTTTTAAAATCTCTCCGACTGACGTTTGTATTTGTTTTGACAACTCTCTTTTCCAACAAAAAACCACATGTGTTGATATTTCTTAGATTTTCTTCAACCAGCTTAAATATTTTCAATTTTATAACAAATTTTCACAACAATTAACACAAAATGGAAGTAGAAAACATAAAAGTTGATGATATTTTACCAACACGCACTGCCAAAAAGCGTTCGCTAAACGATGACAGTGAAATGCAAGTTGACGAAACAACAGGCATTGAAGGAGCCGTCCGTAAAAGTCTACCACCCAAAGCGAAGCGAGTTAAAAGTGAAGTGCGTAAAATTGCAGTGCCTCCGCATAGGTAAGGAATGTTTTTTGTATATTAAGCCATTACTACAAATTCCGAAATTTTAGATATTCATCACTCAAAGAACACTGGATGAAAATTTTTACACCCATTGTGGAACACATGAAGTTACAGATACGTTTTAATATGAAAGCAAAACAGGTAACTAAATATTGCTTAAAATTTAAGAAAAAATCAGTTGTATAGATTAATTCATGTAGTGAATAGTTGTACTAACCGGACTGTAGGTTTAACAGAAAATTATTCCCGTATTTAAAATATTTGGTTTACTAATCGTAAATCAAATCTATCGAAGCTAAACTTTTGAAATGGTTTCCTTTGGTTAGTTACAAATTAAATAAGATTGTTTTTGTTTGAAGATGAAACATAGACTTCTTAAAATCTAATATTAAGAGAATTGTTAAACTTCCCGGCGTACTTCACTTGTGAAGGTAATACTAAATTTTTTTAATAATATGCATATGTACATTTCCAATTGTCCTTAAGAGACTTTAAAGTTATATGAAAATTTGAGCGGACTGATAATTGGATGTTTCACTGATCAAAATAAATCCTTTAAAAAAGAAAATAAATATTTAAAAAATATAAAATAATAGGTATGTAAACAATTTACTAAAATCGTTGGGCCACGAAGTCCAATTTTTTTCTGCGGACATCTGTTTTGCTGCAATACCTTCAATGATTTAGGTGACGACATGTACATACGTATACATCAAAATAAAAAAATAATACTTAATCCAATAATTTTATTTACGTTTTTAACCATCCAAGAGTTAATGACTATCCATTCCTAATTTTTTATCCAGAAACAAAATTCTAGAAATCAACTATTTTTTATTTTAGGTCGAAGTTCGTATTAGTCCAGAGACTCCAGATATTTCAAATTTACAAAAGGGTGCGGATTTTGTTAAAGCTTTTCTCTGTGGCTTCGAAGTAGATGATGCCTTGGCCCTACTACGTTTGGATGATTTGTTCGTGGAGTCTTTCGAAGTAAAGATGTGAAAACTTTAAGAGGTGATCACATGAGTCGTGCCATTGGTCGTCTTGCTGGCAAAGGTGGTCGCACCAAATTTACCATTGAAAATGTTACAAAAACACGTATAGTTTTGGCCGATAGTAAAATTCATATACTGGGCAGTTATCAAAATATTCAATTGGCCCGTAGAGCTATTTGTAATTTGATTTTGGGATCTCCACCTAGTAAAGTATACGGTAATCTACGTTCGGTAGCATCACGCGTCAGCGAAAGAATGTAAAAACGCAAGTGGAAATTTTAATTTAGTTATTAGTTGTGAATTTTGAAGTTAAATATAATAAATATTTTTACAGTAAGTTTAATACATATAATGAAACAAGATATGGAATATTTTTATGATGTTCACCAATTCCAGCGTAAGGATTATATTTGCGGTTCATCTATAATTTTGTGAATATAAGCAAAATAAGCATAAACAATGTTATACCAGCCAAAACCAAAATTGCACACATTTTACGATTTTTACGTTGATACATTTCAGCTCTTTGTAACTGTCGTAAACCTTCAGAAACACGAGACTGGGTCTGTTCAATGGAATAATCTATGCGATCAAGTATGGTACCTTGTTCTTGCACCATTTGGCTAAGGTCCTTAAAAATGTCATTTAAATCGTATATAGTCTTGACAACTTTAGAAACCTCTTCATCTCTACTCAAAGCTAAACGAGTGTTTTCTTCTTCGAACAGCAATAGCTGTTGTTGAGTCAAACGATTTCCCATAGGCCGTTGAAAATTTTCATCTAATTCGTTTTGTTTCGATTCATCGTCATCGTAAAAATTATATTTATTGGCACCAGAAGATGCGGGTTGTAAAAAGTTATCGAACGAGTCCACATAATTCTCTCTTTCCATGCCGTTGGGGTTTGTGAAATCATCGAAGAACTTTTGTGAACGTTCCTCTCGTGAATTTAATTGCCTGAGGTAGGAATTCTGACTTAAACGAAACTTAGTTGTCAGCTCTTGCAGACTTAGCATTAAATATGTGACAACATTGGCAGTTAAACGTTGCTCCCATTTGCCACCCACTCCCAAACTGGAACGTATACATTGTATATGTCTGTGTGTAGAAGTAATTAATTTAGCAATTTCTTGACTCAACGACTCCATTTCAAGTTCATCTTCTTTGCTCTCGTCAAAAGCTGGACGTAACAAGTGGCGCGCATGAAGAGAACCAAGTTCATCTAATTTTGGTTTGATTCTAAATAAGGAAAAATAGTTGATGTAAATAACATTCCAATAGGTTTAATCTTCAAACTCACTTTGACATAATGTATTGAGCCTCCTCCAATTTGTCAATCCATGTCGGTTGAGAACCGTATTCATCACGTAATTCTAAACCCTCTTCAGCGTCATGAACAGATCTTCTTAGGAGTAGCTCTGCATCAGCATCATTATTCTACAGGTGTTTGTTTATTACAATTATTGTTTAGTCAAATGAAAAAAGTAATAAATCAATACGACACCAAAAATATGTTTTCATATTTTAAACTTACTCTGTCATCGGAATATAATGTTCGATTTTTTGAAGCATTATTTCGCATAATATTGAAAACTTCTGTCAAATTCCTTGAAGACATTTTTCTTATTTTTTAAAGTTTTTCTTTACATTATTTTTTTACTAAAACAAATAAATTGCACAAAAAATATAAATACTCTAGATTTTTTTCAAGGGGTATGTTCAGTTAAAACGAATAATATAAAGAAACAGTATTGACAATCAACTCAAAATTTTGTAGGTTTTTGCGTGTTTTGATATAAACTTTTAAGAGCTTTTTCTTGCTTTAAAAAATAGTGTTTAAATTTTTTTTAGTTTTTTTAGAACAAGTCAAAATAACTAAGCCACCTTAAATTTGAAATATTGAGACGCTAATTACAAACCGCGATATTAGCAACTTGCAAAAAGATTAAATTTGTCATTTCTTGTGTAAACCAACGAAGTATTGCTTGAAACGTATTTAAAGTTTATTTATAGAAAAAAGTATTAGGACCGAAACGAATGTACTTTTTGGTAAAAATATTTCATTATGTAATAAAAAAATAAAATAAATCAAACCAAAAATATTTGAAAATCGTTTAATATCTACATAACATAACAACATGTATCATGGTTTAATTTAATATACATACATATTTTAATATAAAAACCTAGTTACTTGTTTCAAAATCAATTTAAATTAAAAAAAAACAGGCTTGATTCATTATTTTTTAAAAAAAATGTGTAACATATATTACCTACAATTGTAAATTTTTAGTTTTTTCAACTAAATTACATTCATTAGTTTTTAAATTGTTTGTTTTATCTACTAATTCATAAATTTTATTTAAATTAACATTATTGAAAGCTTCCTTTAATTGATCTTGTATTTTAACCTCATCTTCCACAAATGTTGAGAAATTTTTATACTGAGAATTTTCCAATTTGAGTGAAGCCAGCATTATGGAATTCTAATTAGTTTAATATAATTTTTATCAGCAATAAATTTTTTATTAAGACTTAAAAAATATTTGTTATCTTACCTCTAAAAAGTTGTGCTTTAACAACGACAATTGTTTGTCTAATTCCTGTTCGTTTTCTTCAGTGTATTTAATATGATCGAAATATTGTGGCAGTAGAACGTGATCTGGTATAATAAAATATTTTCTATCCAAATTATTGGCAGCCTCTATATCATCATTCATGGATAGCCATATATTCCTAAAAACTTCTTCCTTGGCTTGGCGCAATAATTCGTTCGTCTCTTCGCTGGCATTAAATTTACTGAGCATAGCATCTAAGGCATTTCGCAAGATTTTTTGCAGAAAATATTTCCCTTTTGATGAGAAAATGTTTATTAAAATGTATAATAAATTGCTTTGAAACTTACTTTCTAGAGAAGATTGTGCTGCGGTGAAACCAAAATGTTCAATTTCATATTCTCTGTCCATTATATTTTCTTCTCGTTTTATAATAAATAAAAAATTAATTGAAATAAAGAAATGTTTTGCCGCTTGTTTATACTTTTCACGGTATTGCCAGTTTGAAATGAAAATGTCAAATCAATTGGCATGGCCATATGCACAGATAATGCTAAACAAGCGTTTTTGATTAACAAGTTTGTAATAATTTATTTAAACAATAAAAGAATCTTAAATTGTTTTATTTCATATTTTAAGATTTACAATATATTTATAAAATAAATGTAAACTCAAAAATTCCCTGCTTTTGTTTAATTTTGTTTTAAACAGGTTTATGATTTGGAGATTTAATGCTAACAACAAAATTATGTAAAATAATATTGTATGGGAAATTATTTAATTTCGAGTCGATTTCAGACGAAATCCCAAAATTATTTAATTTTGTTTGGTCTGAATGGTTCGTAATATTTAAAGCGCTTATTATGTATATTATTTTAGAAACATGGTCTACTTTTTATTTTGCTTTGTGATAAGTATTTTTTTTATTTTTTGTTTATCACTAGTTTTTGTTGTTTTATTAGCAAACAATTTAGTAATTGCAAAAATCCGTCATGATTTTAAAGAACTTAAAAACTATTAAAAATCTCTCATTCCAAAGAAATTTGTCGAGTTTTCGCAAATTACTTGATATTCATCCTACTGTTAAAAATGCCTTGCATCACCAAGAACCGGTAGTGGCCTTGGAATCCACTATTATAACGCATGGCATGCCTTATCCACAAAACTTAGAAACAGCATTTGAGGTGGAGGATATAGTTAGATCGGCTGGTGCCACGCCCGCCACTATAGCCCTTATGGATGGTCGTCTCAAGGTGGGTCTATCAAAAGATGATATTGTCCAATTGGCAAAAATGGAAAGATCTGATGTAATAAAGTCCTCACGACGAGATCTAGCTTATGTAATATCCAATGGGAAGTGTGGTGGGACGACCGTAGCCGCCACGATGATTGTGGCTCATATGGCGGGTATAAAAATATTTGCCACTGGTGGTGTGGGGGGTGTACATCGCGATGGTCATATTACAATGGATGTTTCAGCGGATTTGGTGGAATTGGGACGAACTCCGGTAACTGTGGTGAGTAGTGGCGTAAAATCCATATTGGATATACCTCGTACATTGGAATATCTGGAGACCCAAGGTGTCTGTGTGGCCGCCTATAATAGTGAAGGTGGTAAATTTCCCGATTTCTACACTCGTGACAGTGGCTGCAAAGCGCCCTACAATTTACAGAATCCTCTAGAAGCTGCCAAACTTATTAATGCATTACATCAACTACAATTGCAATCGGGCATATTAATTGGTGTCCCCATCCCCGCTGAATATGCCGCTGATAAAGATTTAATTACTGCCGCCATAAATCAAGCCTATAAAGATGCTGCCGCCCAAGGAGTGGAAGGAAAAGAAGTTACACCATTTCTATTGGCTGCTATTGCAAAAATTACCGGTGGTTCTAGTCTTAAAGCGAATATGGCTTTAATTAAAAACAATGCCCATGTTGCTGCTAAAATTGCTTGTGAATTAAGCAATACTGTTAACAAAAATGCTCAACCGTCCGAACACACGTCAACTACATCAAGAAACCCTTTAGTAATTGGTGCCTCTATGTTGGATCTCTGCCTCACTATGTTAGATGATATACCCTTAAATCTGGATGGCGCTACCTATCGTACCAGTGCCAAAGAATCGGGCGGTGGGGTAGGTCGTAATTTGGCCGAGGCCATTTATAAATTAAATGGTGCAGCTAGTTTTGTTTCGGTTATAGGTAAAGATCATATGGGCCAAAGCTTATTGCAATTAATACCAGAATCTATGCGTCACGGCATTTTAATTGACCAGGAAAAAACTACTTCCATTTGTTCTATAATATTTGATAAATTTGGCAATTGTAAGATGTGTTTAGCCAATATGGAAATACACAAATCCCTAACACCTAAGGTAATAAGACAGCAAGAAGAACAATTCAAGCATACACCCTTAGTGGTAATAGACGGTAATTTAAGCGTAAACACCATAGAAACAATATTGGAATTGTCGCTACAGTACAATAAGCCAGTGTTTTTTGAGCCCACCGATATGTTAATCGCCGGAAAACCTTTTGAGCTGGACACCACACTTACACAGCAAATACGCTTGATTACACCCAATGTTTTCGAACTAAAAGCTATTGTCGAAACCATAACCGGCAAAAAGATTAACTGGCAACCAAATACTGCTTTGTCATCGCAAGAGCTACTAGTCGCCGAATGCCAGGATTTATTAAAGTTGATTGAAAATAAATTTGATTGCATTGTCGTTACATTGGGAGCTCATGGTGTTTTGGTTAATTTACGTGGCAATAGTTTTGAACAGAAAATGTTTGAACCATCAACGGGAGCCTATATAAATTACCCATCAACTATATTTTCTACTCGTTTTTATGCTGCTCCCTCTATTGATAATATTGCAAATGTTTCGGGTGCTGGCGATAGTTTATCGAGTGGTTTTATAACTGGTTTACTACGTGGTTTAACAATCAATGATAGTATAGCTTTTGGTTTTCTGGCAGCTAAACGTTCACTACAATCCAACTCCGCTGTGCCCGAACAATATTTTGCAAACAGTGAGGAAGAGCAAAAACTATTAAACAATGAAATTGATGCCTTAAAGTATAGAGATGTATAATTTTGAAAGTTTAAAACCTATCAAACGATGTTTTTGTTGTTTATCCAAAAAAGAAAATATGCATTTTAATTTTTTATTTTTATTAACTTTATTAATAAGCCCATCTGTAAATAAGTAAAAAATATAAAATAAATTTTATAAGTGCATTCCTTTTTATAGCATATTTCATTAAACTTACAATTTGATTACTTTGTCCTTACCGCCAGAAGCCACTTTAGAACCATCAGGAGCCCAATCCACTCCAAATACTTCATCAGCATGACCAGGTAATTCTTGAGCTAGCTTTTTTGTTTGAACACTCCATACTAAAAACAAATTTTTGCAACAAGTTGTAATGAAATGCAATGTCTTTTATTACATACAAATAAAGTAATCTATATCTTACACCTACCTTTCAAAGTTGAATCTTTACTGCCACTAACAATTAAACGGGAATCCGCCGACCATGCTAATGTGTATACAGCTTGAACATGACCTCTAAACGTATTCAAATATTGACCATCTTTGGCACGCCATAAACGAACGGATTTATCAAAAGAAGCTGATGCAATCAATTTAACATCTGGTGAATATTTAACATCATTGACAACATTTTGATGACCCGTCATACGTTGAATACATTTGTTTTGATTTGATACCCATAAATATAATGTGTAATCATCTGAGCACGATACTAGGGATTCAATATCATCGGGACAGACTTGCTTGTAACGCTGCAAAGCCATTTCTTGTAATTTCTCTTCTGCGAAGACATATTAAGTTTTCATATTACAACAATAGAATATGTTAGTTAATTTTTGGTATAACTTACTGCTTAAATCGGCATATTTTTTATTTCTATCTTGTACAGGATGAAAAGGTCCTGTGCGTAACACATAGTCTGTGTTAAGTGCAATATTATTAACCCAATGTGCATGACCAGTAAAGGTTCGACATAATATGCCATCTGTTGCACGCCAAATTTTAACTGTACGATCCTTGGATGAAGTATATATTAAACCAGCACCTCCCCAACGTACAGCGGTGACAGCAGCGGTATGACCTACAAACAAAAGTAATACCTTTATTAATAAATACTTTTTATTAGTTTATATACTTGCCTGCTATCACCATAATGCATTGACCCAATACCGTATCCCAAACACGACAATCACCATCACTTCCCGCACTAGCCAGTTTACGGCAATCGGGATTTTTATGGTAGGGTTCCCAACTTAAGCAATTTATCCACTTTTTATGGCCTGTCATAGTACGACCCACTTGTTTGCCCGTTTCGGGATCCCAAAGAATAATATTACCAGCTTTACATGCACTGGCCAGTTTTTTACCATCTGGTGACCATGCTACACACATGACCCATTGCTTGTGTCCTGTACAGGTAAAATGTGGAGTTTCTGTGTTTAAATCCCAAAGTCTTACCGTTGTATCACCCGAACCACTAGCCAAATGAGCACCATCCGGACTAAACAATATCGAAATTACGGCCTCGGCATGACCAGGCATGGAACTGGTGCAACGTGTAACCGGGCGCACTTTAAACACAGATTGTGGCTGATAAACAATACTAATAACATTTTCAGTATCGACAGTTTTAAGATCTAATGTTTGATCAAGTGTCTTTTTAATTTCATCATCGCCTACAAAGAACAAATACGGTGTTGCCTCTTCGTTCTTTAGCAACGCATTGCAGATTAGCCCCAATTGTTCAACTGTAACTCCTGCTGGTAAATCGATGGGTGGTCCTGCCTCTTCTCCGGTATCCGATACTAGACGTGCCTGTATCGTATGTGTTTCATTATTTTCAACAGTTTCACATTCTGTTTTTTTATCATTTAATTTAATGCGTTTTGAAAACATGTTTGTAAGAAAAGAATCAAGCAGATATTATGAATGAAAACACGTGCAGACGAAAAATAAAAAATAACGCAAAACATAAACAAACTAATAAAGATGCCAGATTTATAGTTATTTCATTATATAGGGATGAGAAACATCTGATTACATATGGACTGCTGACGACAAGCGACAGAAATAAATTAATTCTTAAATTCCTAAAGAACAATTGTTTGCCAGCCAGTTTATATCATGTTCGCAGGATATACCCTCATATTATGAATTGAATTACATGATTCTCAATACTTAATTTCAGTTACGAATTATTTATAAATAAGTTTTATTTTTTATTTTTACCTATTGAGCGCCAACTCGAACAAAATATATTTTTATAAATGTATAGTTTTCTTTATAATATACTGATATGAACACAACAAAAAATAGAATAGAATTAGAGAAGAATAGTTTTTAATTTTATGTACATTGCAATATCCTAGCCCATTTAAAACATTGATGTACGTTCTAGAAGAAGAACTTTTGTATTTAATAAATATTAATTATATTTTTTTTAATATTATTTATATTAGTTGAAATATAAAAAAATGGTTAACACTGTGTTATAGGTACCATATAAAAGCTAATTATGTTGTCTTTAAACTACCTTTCTAAGAATTGATTTAACCACCTTGGTGTAGGGTATAATAATATCCCCAGATAAACAAAGCAAATAAAAATCATCTGGTAACTATATATTTAAAAATTATCGCAATATTTACTGTTTTTTATCGAAAAAATATCACTTCCTGACCTTCTCTAAAATGCACTGCAGTAAAAATGAGTGTTCCAAGCAAAACATCCATAACTTTATCAAATTTGGTTATTGAAGGCCTCAGCCACTTGGGAACGACTATACCGTTAGATACCACAAAAAAGATTATTTCCAATAGTGTTAAACTAACTTTACATCCTGAAGCCAGTAAGTTTTGTATATTGCTTGCAATACAAAAGAGTTTTTGTAATTTGGTATCTTGATTAGCTATACCACCAGTACCGGAAATATATGCCACAAATAGTAGCAAGGCAAAACAAAGTGAATATGCCATTGTCACTCTATACAGTTTAGCTATAAAACACAGTCTAGATGTTATGGCCGTTCGACAACTGATGGAAGAACAACATTTAAATACGGCAGTAATTGAAGAATTAACACGTACGTATGAGGAGCAACGGAAACAATTGTTTTTACGCCAACTGCAGGTGGGTCACTCATTTCCTCATATAACAGATGTACAATGGCGTATAGTGGCCGACGTTAAGTCATCTACCTCAGATCATAGCAGCAAAGAGGTGGGATTTCACATCAATCTGGGACGTTACAAACAAAAGGGCGGCGAAAGAGAAACCATTGTTGAGTTTGTATGCAATACCGAGGAGTTGCAATTATTAATAAATAAACTTAAGGAAATAGAACGTCACTGTGGTAAAGAAACTTTGGAATAATAAAACACACATTAATTAAATAGTAATTTACAGTATTGATCTTTATCTAATACGTTTTTTTAATTAAAAATAAAACAATTAATTTATTTGACTATAACAATATCAACAAAAAATGTAAAATTAGGAGGTAAATCATTTGGTAGTATATGATTAGTCCACGTGCTTAGGAACACTGACTGTCGCTAAACTTGTGTATCTAGCAATGACTTCAGCTGCGCAAACTCTGATGGAGCATTACTATAAATGGAACCAGAAAATGCATTTTCTGCATTATCTTCGGCATCGGAACTAATAACAACACATTCATTGTGTTTATTTAGTTTCATGTTGAGGCCACGAAAACGTTTATCGATCTTATAAAGATTTTTACCACTGGACCAAGAATAAAAGGGTTTACCACTGAATGGATTCATAAAATCTGCCCAATATCCGTGGAGTCTCAGGCGGGCAGTAATTTCACGGGCAGCTAATACGAACTACAAGTTAAAAATTAAAATTTAAGTACAATTATTTTAATATTACCGTGTATTGTCATCTCACATTCTTTACATGTCTAAAATTCAAACTGACCTTTAGATCTTAATCCCTATAGTGAAAGGTCATTTAGTAATGTTTTGTATGCGACAAGTGGTGTGTGTTTAATTGAATTCACTAGTGTTATTAGTTTAAAGTGTTCATATCTTTGACTCTATCTATACAATTATTTTAAAACATTCATAAAAAAAACTAAATACCTAATTTTGTTGAAAAGTCAATATAAAAAACAAGAAACCACTGCGCAATATCCTATCAAAAATACCTATACATACTCTTCCCTAGAATATGTATTTTCCAAATAAAAATCTCATAAATTATAGGTTAAAAAGCAATGGCAATACGGAAATTGTTATACATACATATGTATATACAAACATGTTATAGTACTACTTACTTTTCTTGCTCCCATCTCGCTATCACCATTGAAACGTAATGTCATTAGAGCTAATTTTTCACTAGATACCACTTCGGGTGCTGGAAATAATTCATGCAGGGATTTTTTAATCAAGGAGGGACATTCATTTACACTGAATTTGAGCATGGGCTTCTTCTCAGAGTTCTTTAAAAGAAAAAGAGAAATTAAAATAATTACATAATTTTTTTTTATTATTGACTTTTTACTCACTTTGCCATCAAAATCAACCAGTGATTCTAAGGGCACCTCCAGAGTTATTGTGGTAGAGGCTCCTTGCCAAGCAGGTCCTACGGCGTTGGGGAAATAAAAACGGTTGCCGCGCGGTGACAGTAGTTCCCAATTTGGTCCACATTCTCCGCCCAAAAAGTCTGAATTGCCTTGAGAACATTAGTACACAGATATTGTTGTATTGTATGTATGTATTCATGTAATATAATTAACAATATACATCATACGAAAATAACTAAATAAACAAATACAAAACATACACTTGCACACACTCCCAAGCAAAAGCAAACAAAAACAATTTTTTGTCAAATCATATCAGGCGGGTTGTGATAATTGTTTTTATCATGTATAGATAGACATTTTTTGTAAAAACAAACCAATGCGTGTTATTTTTATTTTTATGCTATTTTTTGTTTTGTTTTTGTGGATGTGTGTCTGTTAGATATTTGGCCTACCTTCAACACGAACTTTTGATTTGACAACCTTGAAAGCGCTTTCAAGGTTTTTAGAATCGCTCCGTCTGGAATATTGTGCCACAATACAATAATTATTTGGTTGTACCTTCAGTAGATACAAGGTCAAAGGAGTATTTGTATTTAGACAGCATACAGCAGTAGCATTGCGCAAAACTGTTCCTCCACTGTGTTGAAGACTTCGTAATAAAGTATATGACATTCTTCTGATTTTGTAATTGATTTTTTATATGTTCAGAATTTAAATATATCAGATTAGCGTCTTTCACTTTGGTATTATTAGATTTACTTATATTTTATACTAAAATTTTATTTATATTATAATTAATTTATTATAAAAATTTTGAATATTTTCGAACTCTTCCAGATGTTATATATAATTTCTGTTGTTATTCCTCTCGTTTTTCGTCTTATTTTCTTACTACTGATTTGTCAGAAAAAATATATTTGTCAACCAGCTGACATAAGGCGAATTTACGCAAGGTGCTTGCTAATTTTTTTCACTTGAATCGTACTCACTAATGTCAGAGTTTGTTATTGTTTACATATTTATTTTTAAAAATTTCCGTTAAATTGTGAAAAACTCTTCATATATTTCTTATCAATAACTACAATAGTATGTACTCTCTATGTTAAATATTTATCACAAAAATTAATATTTAAGTTTATTTTTATAAAAATTAATATTTCATAGAAATTTTTGATTTCATTAAAAATTTGATATAATAATAACATCTGTTTGTGTCAACCAGCTGACAATTAGAAAAGAAAATAAATGTAAGTGAAACGTACAGTTAAATTACAATCGGTAAGTGGCGGTTCACAGGCAAACTTTTTTTGTGAAACTTTTGATTTCGTGTGTGGGAGAAAGAGATGGTTGAATTTTGTTTTTTTTTTCTCACACACAAAATCAAAACCGGCAATAAGCGGTTTGAAAACAAATTGTTTTTATTTACAAAAATCAAGGTTTTAAAAATTAAAATGACTAAAGATGACATATTATGGAAATTATTATGTTAAAATATATGACTTTCCTTTAAAAAATAGAACGGTCAGCTTATATTTCACAATCATGTCCGTTCTGTAAATCGAATCATTTTAAAATCGAGAGACTTTTAAAACCGAAATTGATGTTCTGCAAATCGAATTGTTATTTAAGCGTAAAATTCTGAAAAATTAACATATTTTAAATGAAAAATATACATATATATATATATATATATATATATATATATATATATATATATATATATATATATATATATATATATATATATATATATATATATATATATAAAATGCCCATAGCATTTATCAGGTCTGTTACACTTATCGATCGGAATGGTTTCAATTCGGAATGGTTTTCAATTTAAGAAAAAACATTAATTACATACAAATATCAATTTCACTTTAAAAACTGAAAGTTTCTGAAGAAGCAAAAGTACGGAAATAATTTCACTTTCGATCGGAATAGAATTCTGTGACAGACCTGTTTATTAAGTTACAATTGCATTAAAAACCGCTGAAAAATAATTACTTAATTTATTATAATAAAATTACTTTCGATTAACATTCGACTAGATATGTGTAGTCGGTCTTAAATCGAGAAAAAATATGCGAATTCGTTTTTAAACGAGAAATTTAGTCGGAGTCGGTTTACAGAACAGACAGGACTATGTAATATTATTTTGGCCAAATTGGCTTTTTTATTACTGAATAAATAAATAAATAAAATTGCTATTTAGTACACTACTAAAATACCGATACCGAAATAAGTCAAAATACCCATAACGGTTGCCATCATTGTTTATAGGTCTTCTTATAAAACTTCAATGAAAGACCTTATAGTAGACCTTCAACGGAAGACCATTTAATAGGCCTTTTTAAGAAAACATTCTATTAGCCCTCTAACAGAAGCGAAAAGGAAAGCACTTGGCTGCCAATGACACGCAATTGAAATTATTTTACAATGCAGCGGGTGTGCTTCTGTCTGCAAAATAATGCTAATGGATCTGCTGGTTGTTTTTAAAAAATAAAGTACCTTTTTTCATTTCGTAATAAGGTACTGAAGTTCCCACCGAAAATGAAAGTTTGGTTCATTATAAAATACCGTTTCTCAAAATGTTTGTCCTTAGGTCAATGTTTGGTGATCTGGATCAAATAATAAAAATAAATTTTTTATAGTTTTTCCTATTTTATTTACATATTATTATAGGAACTGTAATTTTTATAAATGCATTAGAAAACTATGTATGTATATCTATTCATGGGTAAAATGCAACTTTGTTTTTACGTTATTGATATTTTGCTTAATGCAACATTTTTCAGAAACTGATTTTCTGCAAGATGTTTTATATGGATGGCCGATCTTCATAGAACTTGGTGAAAGGAAGTGTTTTTAAGTTTTAAGAATTAATCAAATTGTTTAAAATTATTTTTTTAATTTTTTTTTAGTTTTTTCCATCCCTGCATAATTTCCTACAAAATGTTTGTGCTTGCTCTGTTTTGTTGTTATAAACATGTAAGTAAGAACTAGTGCTGTTAAAGTGTTGAGTAGTGTGTATCGAGTATTTGCCCTATTTTTTGGGTACTCAATACTAAAAAGTAGTTACTCAATACTTTCAGACTTGTATATGGATTTAACTTATTTAAATTTAAAATAAAAATGAAGAGTTGAAATAAAAATAGTTCTCATGAGTTTAAAGTAAAAATGAATCTCGTGAAAATGAGTTGTATAAAGAGAGAAATAATATTCACGAATACAAAAATTTCCTACTCTGGTCGACAATCCCGATTTTTAAAAAAAATCCCACTTTTGAATCTCTCGGATTCCGCTTTTATTTAAAATCGATGAAAATTTAAAAACTAAACGTATTTGAAAACTTAGCCGACTTACAGTCGATTTTAAGCCGCCGCCGACATTTTTAGTGTCAGCCGCCGACGTTCATATTTGTCGGCGCAGGTCTCTGTTTGTGGCTAAAAGTTTTTTTTGCAAAAAATAATGGATTTTTTTCTTTTTTTCTTTTAATTTGTTTAAATTTATTAACAAAATAAAATAATAGAAAACATGAAATATTTGTAAAGTGTAAATATTTAAATAAAAATAATAATGACTAAGCTCGTCAAGTATTATGTCTTGTCGTCCAAGTGACAACGCCAAGAAAAGAAAAAACACAGATAAAGGAAGTAATTGCAAGAAGAATTATCACAATTATCATAAGACAGTGTGCAGTGATTCATAAAATAATTAAGCATATTTAAATACTAAGCAGAGTCGAGCCGAGCAAAATACAAAACAACAAATTTTACGCAGTGAAAGAAACAATGTCATCTATACCAACACCTGTGTATGGATTTGCGATATTCTTTTTGTTATTTTGGTGCGGTACTTGGTGTGTCCATCTAATGGCTATATGTTATGGCAAATTTAAACTGCATAAAAAGTCTTGCATGTTTCCCAATGAGACACCACTGCCGGGTGTTTCAATTATTAAGCCTCTAATGGGCGTTGATCCAAATTTGGAGCATAATCTAGAGACTTTCTTCACCATGGATTATCCAGTATATGAACTGTTATTCTGCATAGAAGATAAATCAGATCCTGCGGTGAAATTGGTAGAGAGCCTAATTTCAAAGTATCCTACAGTGGAGGCTTCACTCTTTTTGGGTGCCTCAAATGTGGGTGTGAATCCCAAAATCAATAACATGCAACCCGGTTATGAAGCCGCCAAATATGAATTTGTCATGATCTCCGATAGTGGCATCAAAATGAAAAATGACACCTTGTTGGATATGGTGCACAATATGGGTGAGAAATATGCGCTAGTGCATCAGATGCCTTTTACGTGTGATCGTGAAGGTTTCGCAGCCACATTTGAAAAGATTTTCTTTGGCACAGTACAATCTAGAATATATTTATCGGCCGATTTATTGGGCATCAATTGCCACACGGGTATGTCCTGCCTACTGCGCAAGTCTGTTATAGACTATTTGGGAGGATTGAAAACTTTCGGCTGCTATTTGGCCGAGGACTTTTTCATTGCCAAAGCCATAACCGAACAAGGGTGGAAAATGCGCATTAGCAACCAGCCTGCTTTACAAAACAGTGGCTTTTGTGATATTAGTAGTTTCCAGGCTCGTCTTATACGATGGGCCAAACTCCGGGTGGCCATGGTACCCACCACCATACTACTGGAGCCTTTATCCGAGTGCATGGTACTGGGGGCATTGGCCTCTTGGTCGGCTTCTCTAATTTTTAAATGGGATCCTTTGGTATTTTACTTGGTACACATTCTAACATGGTTTCTTTCGGACTGGCTGCTGCTGTCGATTGTTCAGAATGGTTCGTTGCCGTTTCATAAATTCGAATTCGTTATTGGTTGGCTGTTTCGCGAGTTGAGTGGTCCTTATTTGTTTTTGCATGCCTTATGGAATCCAGCCATAAGATGGCGCACCCGCACCTACAAACTACAATGGGGAGGAGTTGCCTATGAACTGCCAGATACAAATGATTCCATTACAAATCCAAGCAGCAAACGTCTCTTAATAACATCGTAGCATAAGGTTTACTCATCATATGGACAACATAAGTTTACTAACTACCTATTCCTGGGTACAACAAAAACAACAACATATACCATACGAATTATCAGCATTTTTATTAGTCGGCAAATCATTGTAAATGTATAATAAATAGTACGATGTGTGTTATGCCGTAATTAAGATGACAGATAAAAAGGTTAGACTAGCTAACTACCGTAGAAGATAATTGGACAGACAGTATTCCTTAACTACTCAAATTAATTTGAAAGTATTTAAGCTTTTATTGAACCTTTTTTACTTTCTATCACTCAATTTCTATTTTCCATAAAAAAAAATAATTTAAAAGAGAAACACTTTTGTAAATAAACATAATTTTCCCTTTAATATTTCTATAATTTTTCAATTCCTTAAAACCTAAACTACTAACTAACCTTTATATCTATCATCCTTCGTATGATTTAATTTATTTAAACTTTTAGTTTTATATTAATTTTAATAAGTAGGCATAATGAAAAGAAAATAAAACTATAAAAGTAATAAATATTAACTATAATAATATACCAAAATGTTAGAATATTAAAGTTAAAAATATCTTTTATATGTAAAACTGAACTTTTGTATAAAATAATCAAAAATCCTTGCTTAAATCCAAAAAATCTCATTACAAACGAAATTGCTTTAAAGTGAAGTATGTAAGTTCTTTTTGGTAGTTCAAAGGACTATTTTGTGAGACATTTTGCTCTATTAAAAATTTAAGTAAATAAAAAACTCGAATAATTTTCAAAACAACACAACACTGGCAATAATATATTATAAAATCTAGATAAAAAAGGCATCTCCCTCCTCCACTTCTTCTACTCCATTATTATAGAATTAAAGCAAAATTCCGATCAATGTATAAAAACGACAATTTGGTATAAAAGAGAATTACAAAAATAAATAAAAAAAAATTAAAAATAAATGTAGATTGTTTTAAGCATCCATTATGTGAAGATGGATGTTAATACACATGTGTAGTTATATATTTGAAATAAACGAAAAATAAATAACAAACAACAAACTTTTTCTTATCAATTTGAAGATGTATATTGTTTAGTAAATATAAATGAAAATAGGCCGATACAGACAGAAGTAGGTAAGAGTGTTTTAAAGAATGACCCGTACGACTTTTTGTCATTTTTTTGTTATAACTTCTTTTATATCTTCTTTTTTCTTTGGGATATTTTAACCTTAAGTTTGAAACAACTATAAGTCCACAAAAAATCTATAAAAATACATATAATTCAATACAAATTTTTGAATGTTATTTTAAGGTTTTCTAAATTATTCATAAAAATTTATGAGACGATACATATTAGGTGAACACTATCATAGAAAATTAAAAAAAATGTGTACTATCCAGTTTTTGTATACCATTGAAAGACAAAAAAGTTTATCCTCATAGATTCTTATTTTACGTCCTCGGTCTTATTTACGTATGTATGTATGTATGCTTAAGCGTCTGAGACATCCAATTTGATGGGTCGCCAAGCCGCGTGTCAGCTTGATTTTCGGAATAGTGACTTCAAAGTGGGATTGGCTCAATTATGGACCAAGATCTCCATATTTTAAGTTTTATTTTTTTAATTCTACCATAATTCTATTATAATGCTAAACTTTTGGAATGATGTATTCGCTATAAATTGATTTTCTGTAAGAGGGTTATATTGGCGGACCGATCCTCATAAAAAGTTTTTTTTCGTCGAATTCCATTATTATATCTACACCTGAAAGCCATTTATGTGCGTTTTAGTCATTTTATGAAGAAGATCTCATATGGGTTTAGAGTGAATTATGCTTCGATTGTCATCAAATCCGTATAAAACGTTAAAATCAATTATTGAAGGTGACCTTATATGGGGGGCAGGGCAATTATGGCCTATAGAAATTTCGATTGATATAAAACTCGATCATGTTATATTTTATTGCTGCACTGGCATTCTTATGTTAATTATGCACGTTAAGTCACTTTCTGGATGTAAAAGATGTTCTCTTCAGCAGGGCGATTTAATATGTTTAACCTTAGAATCCAATCCACAAGCATATGTACATACATATACATATTGGGATACATCCCATTTCCATTTTTCGTATCTCGTGTTTGTAGCAAACACTTGTTCGAAGTGTTTGAAGTAAGATTATTTGGTCATGTGTAAATTTTTGGTGTTTTTTTAACAAAACCAACAATTGTCAACACTAGTTGAAACAGCTGTTGAGCCTAAACTCACCACACGTAAAACTACAGTGTGGCATCTCAAAAAAGTTTCACGTGTATCGCATTTTAGTACATAAACAATGTAATTTGTGAACGTTTTTCTAAACACAGTCTTAAAAATTAAAGTTTTTTATCACAAAAATTTACACTAAAAATAAATAAACATGTCGAGAATTATAGTTAAACAGTTGCCTAAAAACGTAAGTAAAATATTTCCACAAAATCTCTTAAAATTCTATAAGAAATTCTATGTTCTTCAGATAACTGAAGATAAACTGCGAAATTTGTTCGGTTCTAAAGGCACCATTACTGATATGCAATTAAAATACACTGCAGATGGAAAATTTCGACAGTTTTGCTTTATTGGCTATAAAACGGAAGATGAGGCACAACAGGCCATTAAATTTTTTAACAATACCTGCATCCAGACCAATCGTATACGCGTTGAAATGTGTGCCAATTTGGGCAGTGAGGATAAACCACAATCGTGGAGTAAATATGCGAAAGATAATAAAAAAGAAATGGATTTGGTGAAAAAAGTCAAGGAAACCTCCTTAGAAGATAAGAAAAAGGAAAAGGCACAATCAAAGCTAGATGAAATTATAGGTAAACACAAAGATGATCCCGAATTTCAAGAGTTTATGAAGGCTCACGAAAGCAAGCGCTCGTTATGGGCCAATGATGCAGCAGAGGCAGTAGAAAGTGAAACTAAGGAGAAACAAGTAGATTCTGATAAAGAAGATCAAGATGAGGAAGATGACAAAGTAACAGAGAACGAACAAAGTGATGAAGAGGATGAAAATCAAAACGAAGATGAAGAAGAGGATACTAAATTGGCTGAAAAACCTATAAGTGATTTGGAATATATGAAATCTCTAATGGTTTCCTCAGATTCGACAAAATCATCAGCCAAAACTAAACAATCTAACATTGACTTATTTACCATCAAAATCCATAATGTCCCCTATAAAACTAAACGGCAGGAAATTATCAAATTTTTCAAACCCTTAAAACCTTACTCGGTGCGTTTGCCTTCCAAAGTACATGGATTTTGTTATGTGGGTTTTAAGACCGAAAAGGACATGACCAAGGCCATGTTGAAGAACAAAAGTTTCATTAAGGGGAAACAAGTGTTTTTCTCCGATTTCACAGAGAAAAACAAAATCACTAAGGCCAAACAGGCGGGAAAAGGAGACGCTGAAATCAAGGCCATGACAGACAAAAACTCAAAATGGAAAATACAGGAATCAAGCTTAAACAACGAAGAAGATATATCGGAGTCGGGTAAAATATTCTTTCGCAATTTAGCTTATACTGTAAGTGAGGATGATTTACAGAAATTATTTGAACAATATGGTCCAGTGGCCGAGTTAAATCTACCTGTGGATACGGTAACCAGACAAATTAAAGGTTTTGGTACGGTAACGTTTTTGATGCCCGAACATGCGGTGCTGGCTTTTAATAAGCTAGATGGTACTACATTTCACGGTCGTCTATTACACTTAATACCCGGCAAGAGCAGTAAGGCTGAGGAAGAGCAAGACGAGGAAAATGATAGTGCTCTAACGTTTAAACAGAAAAAAGCTTTAAAATTAAAGAAAACTGCCCAAAATTCAGTGACTTGGAATACTTTGTTCTTGGGTGCAAATGCGGTGGCAGAAATTTTAGCTAAAAAGTTTGACACCACCAAACAACGTATTTTGGGGACCGATGAGGGTGGTTCTAGTGCTGCCGTACGTGTAGCTTTGGGAGAAACACAAATTGTGGTAGAAATGAAAAAATTTTTAGAGGAAAATGGTGTGCGCATTAATGCCTTTGATACACAGAACGCCAAACGTTCAAAAACAATAATTTTAGCCAAAAATTTACCACCCGATACCAGCGTTCAAGATTTAACACCCATTTTCGGTAAATTTGGGCCAATAGGTAGAATTGTTTTACCACCCAGTGGCGTCACAGCCATTATTGAATACTGTGATCCTTCAGAAGCCAGACAAGCCTTTAAAAAGTTGGCTTATAGTAAATTCAAAAATGTACCTTTGTATTTGGAATGGGGACCAGAAGATACGTTTACCACCAGTCTGTCGGGAGAACCTTTGGTAGCAAAAATTGAAAATGAACCTACGGCGGAAACTAATGAAACAAAAGAAAATATTAATGAAACCGAAGAAGTTCCTAATGATGAAAATGAAGATGATGGTGATGAATTACCTGAGCCCAATACTACTCTTTTCTTAAGGAATTTGAATTTTAAAACGGAACAGGAAGCTGTATACAAACACTTCAAATCTTTGGGTCCCATACATACGGTAGAAATTGCCAAACGTAAAGATCCTAAAAATCCCAAAAGCTTTTCTTCCCTCGGTTATGGTTTTATACAATTTAAAAAATCTGCCACAGCGGAATATGCTCTAAAGAATATGCAATTCACCAACATTGAGGGCAATCAAGTGGAACTCAAACGCAGTGATCGTCTACTTAAGTAAGTTATTATTATTATATTTTTACTTTTCATGCATTAATATGAGTATTTTTACAGATCTGCCATTACAAACCAGGGCCAACGCAAAAAGGTAGAGATAACTAAACAAACTGGCACCAAATTGCTGGTGCGTAATATACCTTTCCAAGCCAAAGTTAATGAAGTTCGTGATCTTTTCAAGTGAGTAAAAAAATAATTGTTACTTAATTGAAATAACTCATTTATTATTTCTAAATTCTTCTAGGGCTTTTGGGGAGTTACGTTCAATACGTTTGCCGAAAAAGATGACACCTGGTGAAGACTGTCATCGAGGTTTTGGTTTTGTTGATTTCGTCACAAAAAGTGATGCTAAAAAGGCCTACGATGCTCTGAGCCAAAGTACTCATTTATACGGTAGACGTATTGTGCTTGAATGGGCATCTACGGCTGATGAAGACGTGGCTGCATTAAGAAAAAGAGCAGCGGATGAGTACAATAGTTCTTATCAAAATGATAATGCAAAGCGTAGCAAACGTGCTGTATTCGACACTGAGGGTAATGCTAAGAGTATAGCTAATGATGAAGATGAGGATTAAGTTAATGAAAATAATGGTTTACATTAGATTAGTGTGTATTTAAAGTACTGTGTCTTTTAATTCTTTTGTATGCATAATAGTTTTATCTAAACTAAAATATATGTATAAATATATTTCGATTAAGCTGAAAATATGTATATTTAAATATACATTTTAATATTAACAGAGAAATGTGTTTGTTTTCTTTTAAGTCTGGGTTTATCGTTTATTTTAGGTTTATTAAGACACATTTTTAATGCAAATTAATATAGTTATTCTTTAAACTTGAGAAACTTTCTAAAAAATATCGGTAATAAGTAGAATTTAAGTCACCGACAAATTTTTAACTCAAAGATCGAAGTATTCTTTTTGAATGGAATGAATTGAGTTGCGCTGCCATCCAAATCTGCCCTCAGAGAGATTATAACGTCTCAAAAAGCGTCAAAAATTGTAGTTCTTTCAAACTTTAGGACGCGATATCTCAAATCCAATATTTGATGAAGAAAATCTTTCAGAAAAACATAACTTGGTGTCGGGATTTTAACTTTTTTCAAATTTTGTCGTCCTGTGTTAACTTCAATGGAATTATGTGGAATAATGCTAACTAAATAGAAATCATAAATTACAAGAAAATTATATATTTGGAAAGGACTTACCCTCATTAAAAGATTTATCCTTGATCTATTTTCCATTTCATTAATAAGTAATTTCTCTATACAAATATCTACTGCACTATAATCATTGTTTACATGACAACTGGCAGAAAATATCGAAATTTTTTTTCTTATATCCTAACGGTTTTTTTTTAAATAATTTGGCGTCTGATCTATCTATGTATCGCTGTACCTATCTATCCTCCAGTATTAAATCCTAAATTGACTTCAACTATCATTTAATAAAGAATTATTAAAGTTTTCTTTTTAATATATCATTTTACAAATGTTTATACAATTTTTTATTATTTCTTGTTGTTCTTTACTGTTTGTTGTTTTGCAACCATACAATTATTGCTCTCATTAATTTTAAGTTTAATTTTAAATAAATGTGTGTGTATTTAAGTTTGTATGTATTTCATCATCCTGTTGCTGGGGGTAAGTATTTCTTTTTTTTTTTTTTTTTTTTGCATAAATTTAAATGTGATAATAGTTTAAAGAATATCGTTTGTTTTTCTTTTTTTCAACATTTGCAATAGTTACAATAAAGTGTTTATTGTTTTACAATATTATTAATATATTTTTTGTTTTTTGTTTTTGTGTGTTTGTCAATAAGCAATAATATTAAGTAGTTTATTTAGATGTATTTATTATTATGTTTGAGATGAAATAAAATACATACAATACGAACCAACGAACGATCGTTTAAACGAGTATCGATTTATGTCTCTACCATAAATCATTAGCAGTATATTGTGTATATTAAAGTAATACTAATACTAATAATAATAATATTTATAATAATAATCATAATAATTAAATTTTTAAATGTATATAGTAGAATAGAATATAATTAAAGGGCGGTAATATATTGTATGATAATTGTAATTATAATAAGTTTTTAATTATAAATGTAACTTGCAAGTTCAGGAAAATAAGCAGGAAACTCTACTATTTAAGTTGATTTTTGTGTTTTTTTTTTGTTGTTTTACTACCAAATTGTTTGCTTTTGTTGCTTTAATTAACACAATTTTCTTGTATATAATTCTTTTGATTAGATTTGTTATTTTAGGAGGAATCAGTTTTAAAGCATTAAAGTTCTATTAATTAATTAATGTTGTTGCTTGAACTGATTTAACAGCATTAACATTCAAAATGTTAATGTTTAAGAGTTTAATTAGTTTAGAATTAGATTTATATGTATGTATATAAATGTAGGTGTATATGTGTTAGTTATATTTACATAAAATGCATAAAATATATATTTATATATAGATGTATGTTGTATGTAGGTGTATATATATAAAAATATCGTATTTTCTATATAATTATTAACCTGTTAGTATTACTTGAGCTATGGAATAATTATATTATTTCTACTTTCTCTTTTTTTTTTTAATAAACAAAATATGACCCATTAACCATTCACTCTTGGCTATCCAACTAACTCTTTTGGACACTTGAATGTATACACTTTAGTGTTTAGCTAGTTGCTTATGTGCTGGTATAGAGTGAACTTATTACAGTCTTACACTAAGTGTGTTAAAGATTTACTTTTACATATTTCCGGCATCTTTTTCATGTTGCATACGAGCCTGTAGAAAACAATAGAGTATACCGGCCTGTGCCATCACATCAACTGTACCGGATGCCAGTAAGTCTTTTTGTTTTGTTTGCGTTGCTCCTGGCCGCAATAGAGTGGGACCAAATACCATGGCTAGATTGTGCAGAGACATTTTATTATCGACTTCTCTGTTGTGCACTCTATGGGAGAAGAAAAATGTTATAAAATTTTTATTATAGTTATAATGAAAATGATACTGTAATAGACTTAAAACGAATGATGATGAAGTATTCTTTAAAATTTCCCTATTTCATTGACACCGTTTTATAATTTCTTTAAATTATAATACAATTTCGTTGGTTTATTTTTCATCGAAAGTTCCCATGGTTGACAAAATTTTGGTGAATTACCCGGTAAGATATTTGGAAAAAGATAGATATAGACTAAAAAGACATACGATATCATTAAAGAAATCTACAACATTTTAACTTAATTTCGATATCGAAATGTGTTTTCGATACAAAAGCTTATTAGATCACGTATGCGGTATTTCGGTCCAAGATTACTAATGTATGTTTGTTTTTTTGTCAAACAAAACGTGACTTAATTCTTATTTCCAAAAAATTAATACTCGTGTGATTCCCCCCTCATATGTACTATATATTTAGTTCGTCTTTAAATAATATGGTTACGGGTGGTATGATTAATTTTTTATTCCTATAAATACAATAATTCGCATACGTTCTGATCTACAATACCTACTGAGACGTATGAGTAATAAGAATTTTTTTGCAAAAATATCCAACCCTATTTATTCTGCATTTCAATTTGAATCGAAATTTTCTCCAGAAACGTTGTTACGATCGTAACGCAAAATAAACACAATGGTAAAGCATTAAAATATGGAAATGGAATTGCTTTTTTGCTTACGAACAGTTTATCAAACCTCAATTCAATAACGTAGTAAGACAAAAAATACAAATTAATGTTATCAAATATCGTGAAAATATGTTCTATAAGGAATTCGTAAAAGTTTGCCAATAACTTACCTTATTAAATGATCTAATATGTGATTAATAGAAGCCTTATTGGCCTGGGGTAATTCTTCGAATACTTGTAAAAGTTCGTTGATGCGTTCGACTTCATTGTTGTTGCTAAAACGACTAAAGGTTTCAAAGAATTTCGGATATAAAACATCGGTGAATAAGGCTTCGGGTAATTCTCGCAAATAAGATTTTAAAATGCCGGTAACAGAGTGTATATCAACATCTTTTAGCAATTGTTCAGCTTCATAGGCATCTAAAAAATAAAAGACCATGGAACAATAAATAATATACTTAGATAATATATAGTCCGCTCAAATAAGATAGCTTACTTGTTTCAAAAGATTTCTTTAGTTTAGCTAAATCGGAAGCAGAACCACTAACACGATAAATACCCACTTCAGACATACCACGTTTTTCAACTTCTCGTATGCAGGCACTTATTATAAATGGAATGTCACGTTTTTCTCGTCTGTAATTAAGATTTAAATAAAATTGTTTAATTTTTGTTTTAATATAATTTCTTAAGTTTTATGTTTTACTTTAAAACTTGTTGCATTTTGGCACCAAATAAAGCTCCCGGTTTAGAGGTAGGCACTCGCCGCAATGTCACTTCGCCAGGTACAAAATGTAAAGTGGTATTTAATGTTAAATTATCACCCAATTTAAGGACACGACCTTGTGGTGTTTCCTTTAGCCAACTGCGGCTCAACTACAAAATATAAACGCAAAAACTCTCCTTTAAAGAAATACAATTTTATAAAATCGTTCTTTATGTACCTTTATAACATGTTTAGCTCTTAATATGGGCCGTTCTTGTAGAGCATACAATAGTATGCGTACATTTTGACTGCCCTCCAGTTCGACTACAAAACTTTCATTCCACATGGGATTAATGGAGCGACATATCATTTTGGTGGCAGCTTTGCGGAAATAATGACCATATGAATCCACTTCTATTGAAATATATAAATCAGCCGGTTGGTCTAAACCGCTAAGATTATGCACCGTCATGTGTAGATCACCCACTAAGAGACTTTCATCATTAGTATTGCGCATTAGGTAAGAACCCATTTCGGTTTTCATGCTCTTTTGCATGGCCACTATAAAGGCATGAATTTCAAGAGCATTTATAGTACTAGTGCCGGGTATATTACATTGTTGCTGAAAAAAAAAACAAATGTTTAGTATAATTATAAAATAAGGAAAATGATGCAAGATAGCTACCTGCAAACTTAAAATGGAGTCTATCCATTGAGTACGCTCGAAATCTGAACTTAAGAAGAAGGTCACCGTCTTATTGGTGGCCTTGTTGGCAATGCGAAATACTAAATTGGGAGAAGCCAACACTAATTGTGATTCTAAATCTGCCAATTTTCGACGATACTTTTCACCACCTCTTAAGCCATTTGGTTTACGCGACTTATCATCTTTCTCCTCCAATAACAATTGATCACGTACAGTACAAGCCTGTGTCTTTAGCTGCAATATATTGGCTGGACTAGATTCTTTAAGTTCTGCACTAGCATCCGACTCCTCGAATACGGCAACATCTTTTAAGGGTATAAACCATTTCAGTTCATAATCTATACGATCACGGCCAGAAGCCTTATATTTGGCACATGCAATAACATCATTGAACAGAAACAAATGGCGCAATTTACGATGACCATCCACTAGCTCAACAATAAATGAATTCTTTACCATGCGTCTTAAATTCTTATTGGATTCTGTGGGCAACTTTTGATTGACCACATTGAATTGTTTTAAGAATCTATGGATGGTATCGTGAGCCTGCTTAAGAGGATGATGATCTGGATGATTTTGTGGCGTGCAATCCAAAAGATCGTTGAAAACCAAAGCATTGATTTGTACGCGAGCCACCGGCTTGTGTAGTAGATCTTCGAGAGTTAGCGATTGCTCAGTCTGCAAATTCAAGACAATTGTAGAGACAATCTTCTTGAATTGCGGATTATTAGCACTGCATTTCTTCACCGTCTCTATGGCCTGATTATAGTTGTGGAGAAATGCACTGTACAGGTCAAACATTTCCGCTAAACGTTTAAATGTTTCACCAATAAGCACATCGCCACCCTCATGAGCTACCAACGATTTTAAATCACTCAAAAACAACGAGTGTGCATCGTATAGCTCATCGATCTTAAAGAATATTGTATTCTCTTCATCCTCCTTAATGACGGGCTGGGAGGTGCCCAATGTGGCATGTATGGCTTTCTTATACTAAAAGGCAAGTTAAGACAAATTTACATAGATTTTGAAGGGAGTTTTATATGAAAAAAAATAACTAAAACTTACTTGTATCATGGTATTTAAACAAGCCACATAAATCGTTTCACTTTGTATGATTGTACTCAATATGGAACGTATTTTATTACCACGCTGACTACCCGATACCTGTAAATATTGTAAAATTATTATATTTATCCCTGTAATACTTGAAACAGAAACATTCATTTGTATATTGCGATGGCATAATAATAAAAGTCATAAGACAAATATGTACATTTATATGTAGAAGATTAATCAACTTATAATTCTATGTAAAGTATTATGTTTATAAAACAAAGAACATGATTTTTTTGTAAATAATAGATGAAGTTTTATATTCATGTTATATAGACAAACAAAACACACTTAAACAAGCACCAGCACCATTTTACATATAAAAACGTAGCAAATAATTTAAACAAGGACTAAAGCGAAAAAAGTTTTATTTTATAATTTTGTAGGTATTTTTTTTTTTTGGTTTTTTAAAGGTACTAAATTGTTTGATGACAAGTTGGTACTCACAAGTATTGCTGAAACTAGATTCTGTTTTGATTCACGTATGTATGATTTTCAATTTGTTAGAAAAACAAAATATATAAAAAATTAAAAAAAGAGAAAATAATACAGTTAGTAAAGTTAAAAATCATTAATGTTTAGTTTTTTTCTTCTAATTTACTACATATTTTATTGTTTAATAAAAAAAATATAATTTGTTAACTTAATTGTTATATGGACAAAAGTTTGCAAGAAAATTCAAATCTATTTACGTGGCAGAGATAATTTAATTTTTCGACAAAAATTAAATTAATATTTCGATAAAACTACTAATCTAAGTTTCTCTTGCAAACTTTTTTCTGTTATTTTCATTTGTGTAATTGTTAAAAGAAAAAAAACTAATTGCCCTAATTACTTTTTTAATACTATACTAATCTTACCTTTCTTAATGCTCCCGGTGTTTGTATATTATGATCATCTTGTGATATAGTACGCATTATAGGCATACCACCACTCTCATACTCTCCATCGCTGTCCACAGAACTGGAACGTGTTTCGTTATTTTTCCTACAACACAAAATAAAAAAAAAAAATACATAAACCCTATCTTATTTATCTTTAAAAACTACATACTGTATGAAATAATTAATATTGGCATAATTGGAAGAACGTCCTGGAGATTCAGGATCTGTTACACTAGTTTGACTACTCAAATGTCCATGAGTACTCATGGGTATGATGCTGCCTGGTGTTGATAAATCGTCACGACTAGAAGAGGAGCCAGTGCGGCCAGGTTTAATATAGACATATTCATCATCACCATTATCGAGAGGCACGGTGTCATACAAGTGTTCCTGTTCGTTATCGGCCATTTGATTGGCTCTAGCACTGTCTGAACTTAGAGAAGATACTGATTCATAGCTTTTGATCTGAAATTGTAAACATTATAGTATATTTGTTTTTGTATTAAAAAATGCATACTAATAAAACTGCTTACAATTTCGGATATGCCTTGTGAAGATAGAGACTCCTTCGAGCCTATTGTACGACCCTGTTGACCAACAATTTCAGCATCACCTGGCTGTAGTGATGTTCTTAATTTTTTATCTAAACTACCAGTTGAAGAGCTGTCAGCTGCTGTAAGTTTCACACTTTTACTTAGGCTGCTAGTTGGCGAGGAGCCAGTCATTGGATTGACAACTGGTCTTGGTTGTGAAATGTGTTGAGAGCGAGTTGTTGCGCTTGCCATTGCACCGCTAGATTGTGGTGCTTGTTGTGTTCGACCCAAGCTGCCAGTCGGGCTGTGTGTGTAATTGAGGTCAGGTCGCTTGGCTTTTTCCATACTCTCTGTTTTATTGATCTTATTACCCAGTTCTTCTAAAAACTCTGTGTTGTTTAAAAATTTGTTCATTTCTGGTGTAGTTTTGCGATTTTGGGCAAACGCTTTTCCCTCCGAAGACTCTGAAGATTTTTGTCGCAATATATCGGATGGTTTGATATTGCGCTCCAAAGAATTTGCCGGACTTTCGGATGATGATAAGCTACCAGAGCTAGATGGCAAAGGAATGGTACTTCCCACAAAGGGTGAGTCACGTTTGGGCGATGAAGAAAGTATAGAACCTGGTACAATGGGAGGTTCAACACGCCGCATGATTTTGGGTGGGGGTCTAAAATAAAATTATTATTATTATGAAACTATTTGTTATTACTTCTTTCTCCTCTTACCTTGGTGGCATTTTTTTCTTGGCATCCAGTAGAGCATGTGAAGAAGCCGTAAGTGAAGGTGAAGCCAATGACGGTGATAATGGTGGAGCTGAGGGTTTACGTTCAAAACTACTAAACGTGGAGGGTGCCATCATATTTCCACAATCTCCTCCAGCACTATCTGCATTTTGCTCCAATGACACAGACGAATTATTACCCTGATCCGTTTTATTCTCTTTCACCTCTATGACTGTTACAAAATGTGATGTTGCTTTTGGTGGCCTTTCGGGAATTGATTTTGTTGTTACACCATTATTATCGGAATTATCTTCATTCGAAGCGATAGATGCAGCCAATTCGCTGATACACTGATGTAATGCACCATTCTTATCACTGTTGCGTTTATCCTTTTCGGTGCCTACATCTTTGTCTTCTTTTTCGCTATTTCTCTCCTCTGTGGAAGCTGTTGTTGGAAGATTATTTTTAGACGCACTCGATTTATTGCCATTGTTACTGCCGTATTGACTATTCGCTGTTGTTGTGCTGTTGGTGGTCGTAACGGCAGCCGCATATTTATTATCGGTATTCAGTGACAATCTATTAGTCTGTTGTTCTTTATTTCCATTTTTAGATTCCCTTAAATTCAAACTTGATTTCTGTAAATATATAAATTTATGCAAATAATTATTTAATAATTTTCTTATTAATTTTTATAATATACTTTATTATCTTGCACGAATTTTATTGTTTTAATAACAACTTTTTGCCACTTTAGCATATTGCAAATAAATATTACTTTAGTGTATTACAGAGACTTTATATTAATTAAATATTTGATATGTGGTTTGATAAAATAAATTCTTTTGTTATTTGAAAGAAATAACTGCTAGTCATAGATTCTATAAATTCTCTAAAGAATTGCGAATATGTTCTGTATTTTTCGAAGAAAGTATACTCTCGATTAGTGTCTCATCAATGTGTATTGGAAAAATATAGTTCTATAAAAAAAAAATAAATATATACATGCTTATATTTAAATTGTAAATTACAACAGTAAGAGAAACTAATAAAATATTTTTTGTATTATTTATACAAATATCCAAGTTCCAGTATTAAAAATAAACTTAAAAAAAAAAACTAAAAATAAACGTGATTTATTTTCAGTGTATAAACTATTTTAATTAGTTTTAGTTGTTTTGTTTTAGTTCAGTTAAAGTTTAGCTCTAGTTCATTTCTAGTTTAGTTCTAGTTCAGTTCTAGTTAAGTTCTAGTTCGGTTTAGTTCAGTTCTAGTTCAGTTCTAGATAAGTTCTAGTTTAGTTCTAGTTCAGTTCTAGTTCAGTTCTAGTTCAGTTCTAGTTCAGTTCTAGTTCAGTTCTAGTTCAGTTCTAGTTCAGTTCTAGTTCAGTTCTAGTTCAGTTCTAGTTCAGTTCTAGTTCAGTTCTAGTTCAGTTCTAGTTCAGTTCTAGTTCAGTTCTAGTACAGTTCTAGTTCAATTCTAGTTCAGTTCTAGTTCAGTTCTAGTTCAGTTCTAGTTCAGTTCTAGTTCAGTTCTAGTTCAGTTCTAGTTCAGTTCTAGATCAGTTCTAGTTTAGTTCTAGTTCAATTCTAGTTCAGTTCTAGTTCAGTTCTAGTTCAATTCTAGTTCAGTTCTAGTTTAGTTCTAGTTCAGTTCTAGTTCAGTTCTAGTTCAGTTCTAGTTCAGTTCTAGTTCAGTTCTAGTTCAGTTCTAGTTCAGTTCTAGTTCAGTTCTAGTTCAGTTCTAGTTCAGTTCTAGTACAGTTCTAGTTCAATTCTAGTTCAGTTCTAGTTCAGTTCTAGTTCAGTTCTAGTTCAGTTCTAGTTCAGTTCTAGTTCAGTTCTAGTTCAGTTCTAGTTCAGTTCTAGATCAGTTCTAGTTTAGTTCTAGTTCAATTCTAGTTCAGTTCTAGTTCAGTTCTAGTTTAATTCTAGTTCAGTTCTAGTTCAGTTCTAGTTCAGTTCTAGTTCAGTTCTAGTTCAGTTCTAGTTCAGTTCTAGTTCAGTTCTAGTTCAGTTCTAGTTCAGTTCTAGTTCAGTTCTAGTTCAGTTCTAGTTCAGTTCTAGTTCAGTTCTAGTTCAGTTCTAGTTCAGTTCTAGTTCAGTTCTAGTTCAGTTCTAGTTCAGTTCTAGTTCAGTTCTAGTTCAGTTCTAGTTCAGTTCTAGTTCAGTTCTAGTTCAGTTCTAGTTCAGTTCTAGTTCAGTTCTAGTTCAGTTCTAGTTCAGTTCTAGATCAGTTCTAGATCAGTTCTAGTTTAGTTCTAGTTCAGTTCTAGTTCAGTTCTAGTTCAGTTCTAGTTCAGTTCTAGTTCAGTTCTAGTTCAGTTCTAGTTCAGTTCTAGTTCAGTTCTAGTTCAGTTCTAGTTCAGTTCAGTTCAGTTCTAGTTCAGTTCAGTTCTATTTCAGTTCTAGTTCAGTTCTAGTTCAGTTCTAGTTCAATTCTAGTTCAGTTCTAGTTCAGTTCTAGTTCAGTTCTAGTTCAGTTCTAGTTCAGTTCTAGTTCAGTTCTAGTTCAGTTCTAGTTCAGTTCTAGTTCAGTTCTAGTGCAGTTCTAGAACAGTTCTACTTTGGTTCTAGTTCAGTTCTAGTTCAGTTCTAGTGCAGTTCTAGAACAGTTCTACTTTGGTTCTAGTTGAGTTCTGGTTTTGTTTAGGTTAAACCATTTCTATGGTGGGTGTATAAGATTCGACACACTCGTATACAAAATTTTTAATTGTTTCATTATTTTAACTTAACTACATTTGAATAAAAATCAATTAGAAAACAAATTTCCTTGAGTTTCATTCTTTTGAATACCCAAGTGAATATTATCGAACATTATTAAGTAATCAGAAATATCAAAATAGAATTTGCCAGCACTATGCCGTACTACAATTAAAAGAGAAGAGCGAATGAGCATTCAACCGAATAAACCATTGACCCATTAGAACAACATGTTAACAATAAATATTATTCATATTTACATGTATTTTAAAAACGAATCAAGTCGATTGTTTTATTCTCTTTTCTTTAACTAAATTAAAAAATAAAAACTAAAGTTAATTAACAACTACTACAAGTCAACATCTATAGTAATCATGATTGAAGACCAGGTCTCAGTTGTCAATGAAAAAAAAAAACAAATAGTAATGAAAGAAGAAGGGTTAAATATATTGCATTAGTCTGGCAAACATTTCGAAAAAAAACGTTTCTTTTCAATATGACTCATACATACATTCAACTAACACAGTTTTCTTACAAAATGAATAAAATGGAAATAAATAATAATACAAAAATAAAAAAACAAATAACTAATACTTGAATAACAAATGGGCTACAACTCTCTTCTCTTTATCACCACAACACCATGTCTGGTCTATCATACGAGTACCACACAACTATTACTTATAAATAATAATAATGTACAAAAAATATTAAACGAAATGATAGCAAAATTTAATAATGAAATAGAATAATTGTTCATTGTTTTTCTTGTGTTAGACTTTACCCCGCGCCACAGTTTAAATTTTTCCTTAAACGATGACATTTTCTTTTATCTGGCAACAAATTGTTGGGATGTTTTTGGCCACTCTGTTGCAGTGGCAGATATGTTGATTGTTTAAAGCTGGTATGCTGGGTATAATAAAATAATTTCAATTGAACTTTACTGCTTTTATAAACACAACAAAACATATAACATAACACTTGATGAAATTCAATTAAAGGCACAATGTTGGTTTTTGTTTAAATGAAATTCAATAAAAGATGTTCGATTAAAAAAAAAAAAATAGGAGATAAAGAAATTACAGGAAATAATTGTTTGCAGTCAAATTAATAAAATTTATTTGTTTAGAAATGCTGTCTCTCTAAATTTTTATCTGAGTTGAAAAGCCGATGATTCAGAAATGAATACTACATGTGGAGTGATGTTGAATCGGAAATATATATTGGGTATAAAATACCCAAACGTCCTCAAACTAACTTTTTAACTTTCTACTCAAACGAGAATTCATAAAAATAATGAAATAATTTTAACATATTTTGTTAGTTTTCTGATTAATTCGACCAAAGACCGACTTTAAACTAATTGTTACTGGAAAAGTTCAAAAAGTTTATATACATCACATACGTATGTTTTTCCAATTTTGGAATTTTGTAGTTCAATTTTAGTTCAATTTTAGTTCAATTCTAAGTCAGTTCTAGTTCAGTTCAGTTCTAGTTCAGTTCTAGTTCAGTTCTAGTTCCGTTCTAGTTCAGTTCTAGTTCAGTTCTAGTTCAGTTCTAGTTCAGTTCTAGTTCAGTTCTAGTTCAGTTCTAGATCAGTTCTAGTTCAGTTCTAGTTCAGTTCTAGATCAGTTCTAATTCAGTTCTAGTTCAGTTCTAGTTCAGTTCTAGTTCAGCTCTAGTTCAGCTCTAGTTCAGCTCTAGTTCAGTTCTAGTTCAGTTCTAGTTCAGTTCTAGTTCAGTTCTAGTTCAGTTCTAGTTCAGTTCTAGTTCAGTTCTGGTTCAGTTCTAGTTCAGTTCTAGTTCAGTTCTAGTTCAGTTCTAGTTCAGTCTAGTTCGTCTAGTTCAGTTCTAGTTCAGTTCTAGTTCAGTTCTAGTGCAGTTCTAGTTTCAGTTCTAGTTCAGTTCTGTTCAGTTCCTAGTTCAGTTCCGTTCAGTTCTAGTTCAGTTCTAGTTCAGTTCTAGTTCAGTTTCTAGTTCAGTTCTAGTTCAGTTCTAGTTCAGTTCTAGTTCAGTTCTAGTTCAGTTCTAGTTCAGTTCTAGTTCAGTTCTTGTTCAGTTCGTGTTCAGTTCTAGTTCAGTTCTAGTTCAGTTCTAGTTCAGTTCTAGTTCAGTTCTAGTTCATTTCTAGTTCAGTCTAGTTCAGTTCTAGTTCAGTTCTAGTTCAGTTCTAGTTCAGTTCTAGTTCAGTTCTAGTTCATTTCTAGTTCAGTTCTAGTTCAGTTCTAGTTCAGTTCTAGTTCAGTTCTAGTTCTAGTTCAGTTCTAGTTCAGTTCTAGTTCAGTTCTAGTTCAGTTCTAGTTCAGTTCTAGTTCAGTTCTAGTTCAGTTCTAGTTCAGTTCTAGTTCAGTTCTAGTTCAGTTCTAGTTCAGTTCTAGTTCAGTTCTAGTTCAGTTCTAGTTCAGTTCTAGTTCAGTTCTAGTTCAGTTCTAGTTCAGTTCTAGTTCAGTTCTAGTTCAGTTCTAGTTCAGTTCTAGTTCAGTTCTAGTTCAGTTCTAGTTCAGTTCTAGTTCAGTTCTAGTTCAGTTCTAGTTCAGTTCTAGTTCAGTTCTAGTTCAGTTCTAGTTCAGTTCTAGTTCAGTTCTAGTTCAGTTCTAGTTCAGTTCTAGTTCAGTTCTAGTTCAGTTCTAGTTCAGTCTAGTTCTTCTAGTTCAGTTCTAGTTCAGTTCTAGTTCAGTTCTTTAGTTCAGTTCTAGTTCAGTTCTAGTTCAGTTCTAGTTAGTTTCAGTCTAGTTCAGTTCTAGTTCAGTTCTAGTTCAGTTCTAGTTCAGTTCTAGTTCAGTTCTAGTTCAGTTCTAGTTCAGGTTCTAGTTCAGTTTCTAGTTCAGTTCTAGTTCAGTTCTAGTTCAGTTCTAGTTCAGTTCTAGTTCAGTTCTAGTTCAGTTCTAGTTCAGTTCTAGTTCAGTTCTAGTTCAGTTCTAGTTCAGTTCTAGTTCAGTTCTAGTTCAGTTTCTAGTTCAGTTCTAGTTCAGTTCTAGTTCAGTTCTAGTTCAGTTCTAGTTCAGTACTAGTTCAGTTCTACATACATGTGTTTCAAATCTATTTGTGAAACTAATTCCGGCACCATTTTATAGGACTAATTATTGCAATATTTCCTGGATATAGGCATTCCAATTATTTAGAAGACACAGTTTTTTTAACACTACTATTATTTTGGCTGCTATTTTATATACATACATATATATGGAGTATATGTTAGGATTTAGTTGCTCCACCTATTTTTTTTTAACGAAAGATTTAAAACGAGTGTTTTAGCAATAATCGTATTTTTCCTTTGTACCACAAACAATGTTAAACATTTCTTTGTTATTCGATTTCCCTAATTGTTTTTGTAAAATCAAAGTATTCTAAATGGGATTTCGAAAAAGTTTTTAAACGCCTTAATAAAAGTTAAATAATTTTTGTTGTTTAACAAAAGTATAATGTAATAAAATTATTTAAAATCACTATTATTTAATTAAACATTGTCAGATTTTAAAATTGCATTAAGAAGAAGGCAAAAATTAACAATGAAAAGCCTTTAATTGAATTTCGTTAAGTGTCTGTGGGTAAGAGTGTTTGTAAAGAGAGTGTTATTAAACGTCAATACAAACACACAGAAACTACTCCACCCTGATGATGAGATGGTTAACATTTCATGTGTTCAATATTTTTTTATATTTTTTGTAGCTTTTATAAAATTTTTAATACATATTGCGTTTATATTTCGTTTTAAATAAAGTTTTAAACACGAATGTTAACAAAATTAGTTTTAACTCGAAAGCAACTTAAATAAATTAATATTTTTTTAATAACTTTTAAATTTTCAATATTTCTGTTTAATTTTTTGGATATTTTTTTTTTTTTTTTGATTGCACTAGCTTTGTAATATAATTAATTTGTAAAACGTATAGCTCTTTTTTGATGTAAACGTATTAATTATGCGGGTTAACCCGACAGAGTAAAAATATGAACTGGAGAATTTTTTTGTACGATTCTGTATTATGGCGCTGGTGTGAGGAAAATACAAAATGCAGATAACATGCTACAACAACAGCTATGAAAATGAAAAAATAATAATAAAAAAGAAAGTACATATAGACAACAACGAGGAGCGCGAGCACGCATACAAATAGCAATCAAGGAAATGTGCAACTTTTCAAATGCAAAAAGGAACAACCAAACAAGAGAGAGTAAGGAAAAATAGTTCAAATGTTAGTTATTTAGTTGGGCCACAAAATATGCAAGGAGCCAATGCAGCATATTTAAGAGTATGTAAGTTTAAGGGGAGCATATCATATTTTGAGTAACTAAATATGCTCTTTTAGACATACATATACCCCAAATATATGTATGAGTGTGGTACCTCTATAATAGTCATATCTACTAGTCTCAATAAATGTCCAAGTTTATAAAAAAACAACAACACTCACACACCCAAATTCATGATAAGATAAAACTTTATATACTGCATTACGTACATATGTATGTACATTTATTTGTACATAAAACATTCAGTTTTTTTGCCTTTATACAATTTTATTATTATTGCTGTTGGTACTCGCACTTGTTATTGTTTTTCATTTTAGTTTTCTTTTAATTCACATTCTCACTCCTTCTTCTCCCACATACCAAAGCGTTTCTTCCCCACTCTTCACTCTACGGCGAGTGAAAATTTTATTTTAAACAATAAAGTTAAAAAAATAACATCTATACACAAATGCTATTATTACTACAATATTTGACTAAGCCGAATTTTATTAATTCTGTTTATAATAAATTTATTTACATATTTATTAAACGAAAAAGTGTGAGTGATGAAATGTTTGATAAAAATGCGAAATAAATGTGTAAAAAAGCCAGTACTTGATCTAATGGAAGTGAATTTTAGAAAGGTTCTGTTAATTGATTTGATAGTTTTACGTCGACCTTTTTGTTTTGTCCAGTTTATCAGTTCTATTTTAGTTCTAGTTCAGCTTGGTTCTTGTTTAGTTTAGTTCTAGAATAGTTTTGATCAGTCATAGTTCACTGTAGTGCAGTTTTAGTTTAGTTCTATTTCATCAATAATTAAATTTTTTGGCAAAATATAAATTTAACTACCGAAAAATATTGTACCCCCAGCCAATAAAAATCATATGGAAACATGAACTTAATATACCAGCTTCATTCCTTACAAATAGTAGTATATATACACTGTTGATAGTCATAAAAGTAAATATGTACATTAGGGTATGACTTTTTTTGGGCGGCAAAATACCATAGCACTGCCTCATAGCCAATACTGTCCTGATATTATAAAGCTATTTTAAGTCAAATCATCCCGCACCGAAAGCAATTTCTAAAATGCTTTCGTTCGTTATTTTTCAAAAATTATTTTAATAATTTTCATATAAAAATATACTATTTTCTATAAAATGCAATATTATCGCTTTTTTAAATTTCCATAACAAGGATTTAAACAACAATGTTTTCTTTAAGATAATGAAGTACAAATGCAAAAATATTTATATTTCTCATATAGAAAAAGTAAAATTTATACAAAACTTCATCACCTTTGGTGCGAGAACTTTTTTCACGATCGCAAAAAAATAATATCATATTCTTTAACATGACCTATAAGTTCTTGCTATGGTATTTTTGATATTTGCCAAAATTGCAAAAAGTCATACCCTAATGTACATGTATGTATGTAAGCCAATATGTACTATGAACGACGGTGTTTTGGTTATTGCAATACTACATATTGATAAAGAACTTAGTCCGTTTCAGAAAACTGCTAGCCTGGTAATTGAAGTTGTGCAAAAGAGAAAAATCAATGTTTTATATTCAGATGAGTATGTGTGTTATCAATAAATTATATTATTGTTTAATAAATCCTACTTCAGACTATATGTAGTTTATCTTCTATAGTGCCTATGGTGTTAATGTATTTGTGAAACAATAAGGATTTTGCATAATTAAATGGTTATAACGGAAAAAATGTAATTTAAAATTTAACAAGTCTAGTTCATTATTAACTTATTTCTTTATACGTAATGTTTTTGCATCTAAATATGTATGTTTTAGTTAGATAGTTCTGTGTTTAAAAACTAATTAGTATTGCAACTTAAGAAAGTGCTGCTAAAAATAAAATTTAAGATTTTATAATCATAAATATAAAGTTATACTTATTGTGTTATTGCCAAAATTAGATATATGTACTTGTATGGATGACCTGAGAGTAAATTATTATATTTATTGTTCTACTTTGAAAAACGAATTTATTTATTGTAATTAAGGTTTATGACCTTTGTGTTTAAAAATTGTAATGGGTTATTGATAATTTGAAAAAAAAAATGGAAATAACACAGTACCACATATCGTAGAAATATTTGGATGTGCGTTGAACGTAAATCATATTTTAATCAGTATTCAGCAAAATTAATAATGAAAAAGTTTTGAAGGTAAATCTAAAAATTATGAATATATATACATAAATTTTACTGAATAATAGTACATCCATCAGAACAAGGGAGTACAATTCTCATCATCGAAACAGTTTCTGTTTAATATTATATATACGAAATTTATTATAAAGAATGGTTCGGCTTTTGTATAAGACCGGCTTTTGTATAAGACTGACTAATGATAAACGATTTAACTCATTCAAATTACTTTTTAATTCTATACATAGGTAACGTCTTACAACTATAATATAAACTTACCGAATTACGATCTCCTACTGCTGCAGTATGACCTTCACCATTTTCACCATCCGCAGTAGAATCTGCAGGATGTGATGATGATTGTTGTTTGGCACCTTCAGAATTTGTAGCTGCTTCGAAGAGCGTTGTGGGATCACCACCCGATTCACGATATTTCTCAACATCAGACAATAAACGTTCCAAATATTCAACATATAATGTCTCCTGTTCCAGTTCTTTGGTAAGTTCAGCTATTTTTAACTTGTGACGTTCTAGACTAGCACGAACATCTTGCTCCCAGGCATCCGATAGAGAGCTTTGTGGAAAACGTTCCATCCACAAGCGTTGAAAATCATTAAAGACACTCATTTTTATTCAAGAGATTTCCCAATTCTTTTTTTTTTAATTTTTAATTATAAATTATTATTCGAAGTTATTCGAGTTGTATTTTCTTTTCTTTTGTAATAGTTTGGTGGCTGTGATTTGATAATAAACAATAACAAAATAGAAAAAACTGACAATATAAACTGTCACGCACTGGTTTGCTTTTATTGCCCTCTCTCTATTTCAGGCTGTTTTTTGACACACTCTCTCTTTTTTCAGCCCTTTTTTAGTTAATTGTTTACGTATTCTTATAAGACATTATTAATGCATCAAAATAATTTTATTTTATTTCTGTTCATCGTTTGGCAAAAAAGATGTTTTGCTTGTTTTTGTTGTTATTATTTCTTTGCCTTTTTAGATTTTGTAATTACGAAAAGTGAAAATAATAACATGGGCCACTTTTAGTTTAGCTTTTTTATATTTTATTATTTAATACATATAATGTGTTGTTGTATTAAAAATGTGTATGGTATGTATGCGCAATTACAAGGTCATCAAACAATGCCTTTTTAATTTTTTTCTTGTTTTCTGCTTTTATTGTTGATTTTTTTTTTTTTGCTTTATTTAAAATACCCTACAACTATTTTAGTTTTTAACGAAACTATATAATAGATAAAATGCAAAACAGTGATTTTTTTCTATGTTTGTCTTCGTTAAACGCCCACTTGCATCACTACTACAGCATCTGAAACTGAAAATCAAGAGTATTGTTGTTATTGTATATTTGCCTAGAAATTAACAAGAACAACAACGATTCGGTGCGTGTGGTCAAATGTCACATAGAAATTTTGTTCGATTTTAATTTATTCGCTGTGTGGCGTATGCAAGCCACCAACCAACCAGACCCACAACTCAAGATTTTAACTTGTATTGTTGCAAATTCATACTATGCAGATACGATGGGTAGATAGAGCTATGTTGTGTATCTTGGAAATTCACGCTTTTTATTTTAGTTTTACGCCAACTAGACAAGAATACTTAATTCACACAAAACACAACACAACACTTTCCAATTCGATTTTAAAGGTTTTTTATGTAGTGAAAAGCAGACACTGCTGGCACACCTTTCTTTTGAAAATTTTCTCTTCTTGTTGTTTAGCCTACAATTTTCTTTTGTATTTTTCAAATTATTTCTTTAATTTCATTTTATTATATATTTTTTATTGAAAAACAACATTAAAATTATGTATTTTATTAATGTATCAAATTTTCTTTCGTTTTTATTCGCAATTTCAATGTTTTTTATTGAGAAAAAATACACAACACAAGCACATACAATTCTTTTTTTTTAATAAAAAATGCATTTGTTAGTGTTGGTAAGTTACAATTTGTTGTTTATCGATAACAAAGTGGGTTTTTCAGCTTAGAGTCGCATTTTAAAGGTCGAGAAAATCAAAATACTAAAGTTTGCAACTGTGTTGTTTTGCCGACCAAAAGGGAGGGACAAAAATATGTTAATTTTAAACACAATGATACAGTTAATAAACGTAAAATATTTAAATGGTAAAAATTAACTCGATGACACTCACCCAAAAAATTATGATATTACCCAGATGTACACTTAATTTTGAGAAGTTCGAGTATTTCGTTAAATTCCACGAGTACTGCCCGAATATACATTTTAATAAAACATATTATTGATATAATGAAACTACATACATATGTACATTAGTTTATTGTTAAAATTATGTTGAAGGATTTAAAAAATATTTATTACTTCATTTAAAGTGTAATCAATATATAAAAAAACACTATATGACGGCTATAGACGTCATTTGCATCTACGAGCGCCCGTGATCGACGTCTATAGACGTCATTTACATCAACGTGTTCATTAAAATTATGTGAGAAACTATTGTATTAGTTCCATATACACACACATTTGTAGTGAAATCGGTTCTTTAATCACCGACTTTTGTTTAATATTGTCATCGACATTTCATGTAGACCATTGTATATGGTCTAGATGGAAAGATCAGGTCTATTCTGAATAATAAACACCTCTTCCTATACACAAAGCATGCAAAAGGGGATAAACACCTGAGCAATAGGGTGTCCCGTGGACCATTTTTTAGGAGGAATACCTCTGAAACTATGCGTTTCAATGTACTAAAAGGTCCTCAGTTTCCTACCTGCGATTGAAAATCTTGATCTCATTACAATATGTTAAAAAAAATTTGCCATCTTTTCGAGTTGGGTGTCAAAAATTCCATAATTTTGAGCTTGTCGCGGGAAAAATAATTAAAATTTCTGGTAGTGGTCCGTAAAACTACTTTTATTGTATTATAAGGGGCATATAAATTTCAAAAAAATTCTAAAAAATTCTGAAATGGACTAAACCAAATGCTAAATTATTTTCAAATATTTTTCTGTATGTATGTAGCTAAAAATTGCGACAATTTTGACACCCATTTCGATAAAAAGCGAAAAAGTATGCCTCTCCAACCCACTAAAAATCATTTTGTGGACCAAAAATATTCTGCAAAAATTTTAAAATTATTTTTTTCCGTAATCAGCTCAAAATTACGGAATTTTTGAGACCAATTTGGAAAAAATCTAAAATATTTCATTTTTCAAAAATTATAGGGAGGCCAGGATTTTTCAACCGCTGGTAGGGAACTGAGGACCATTCCAAAAAAAAATATTTTTTATTTTTCTCATGTTCAGTATAATAATACGCATCGATTGAGTGGCTGTTCCTCGGGACACTCTACTAGGCAATAATAGTTCATAATTGGCCTGAATATGTACACAATTTTTTGCAGATTTGGGCATTTCCACCGAATAGTTTATTTAGGCAGTTAATGGTTCATTACGTAATATGTTATTTTTTAATAATAAGATCTTTATAACTGTCATATATGGTCCACTTACATATATGAGATTACCTTAACAGTGTGTTAAACCCTGCTTTAGTAACAAGCGCAAAACCAGATCTTAAATCGATTAGAGAGTTCAAAATCCTTTAATTTCAGTATATTATTCAAGTAATCAATAAATGCTTATTCAAAAGTTTAAAAGGTCCAGTAAACAAATAGAAATACATGCACACATTGATATGTACATATGTATGTAAGTATATATACATTAGGGTGCTTCTTAATCAGTTTAGATATAGATAGATAGGATAGATAGATAGATAGATAGATAGATAGATAGATAGATAGATAGATAGATCGATAGATAGATAGATAGCTAGATAGATAGATAGATAGATAGATAGATAGCTCGATAGATCTAGATAGATCGCTCGATACTCGCTAGCTCGCTCGCTCGCTCGCTAGCTACTCGCTCGATCGCTCGCTCGCTCGCTCGATCGCTCGCTCGCTCGCTCGCTCGCTCCTCGCTCGCTCGCTCGCTCGCTCGCGCTCGCTCGCTCGCTCCTCGCTCGCTCGCTGCTCGCTCGCTCTCGCTCGCTCGCTCGCTCGCTCGCTCGCTCGCTCGCTCGCTCGCTGCTCGCTCGCTCGCTCGCTCGCTCGCTCTCGCTCGCTCGCTCGCTCGCTCGCTCGCTCGCTCGTCTTCCGCCCTTTCTTGTTCCCCTTTCCCCCCCCCCTTTTCCTGTTTTTTTTCCCTCCTTTTGCTGCCCTCGTTCCCTCTTTCCCTCGCCCCCCTGTCGCCCTTTCCTCTTTTTAGTTTTATTATTTAAAAAATAAACTCACATGTTGTGAACGTTTAAAAAAAATTATTGATAAGAAATTGTAACATTGAATTACAGATTATTAAAAAACCGGAATATTAATAATGCATTAAAAAACGTCCTTAAAAATGACTTCTAGGAACATGCAAATAAACAATTAATTAATTGTACGTAACTATATATGTACGTGTGTATTTATATAGATTAATTTTTTAATCACATTAACTAAACTATTGATCTTTTTCAAAGCGATAAGTATACATATATTTCGTACAAAAATTCAATATTTAAAAGTTAAATAAATTTTAATCAAAACAAGCCCATTTTTCTGCAAGTGGTTGGGTTAATGCTATTTAAAACAAATTGATATACACTATTTAAGCTATGACCTGACACTCGTTCTTAATTTTTATTTTTCAGTTTAATAAAATTTTCTTTCGCATTTTTTAACTCCTCTTGATAGAGCTGATCACAAATTGTAATTTAAATGCAGATATCAAGACCGACTATAGAGAAGATAATCGAGACTTTTAACAGAATAATCTCATTTTCAATAGCGGTTAAAAACTACACTTTTCAATACAAATATACATATATGTATGTATAAATTTCTTTATGTTTATTTATTTAAAAATAAAAAAAAATAAATTGTCTACTTTTACGGTTTTTGAGTTTAAATGGTGTGTCTATTATAATTTTTTTTCGTTTTAGATTAAAAACAGAGATAAGAATAAGCTATAAGTTATAGGCTCACCAAACATTTTCGAATCATTTAGTCAAACTCAATCATTTACTAAAGAACCTACTAGTAGTTAGTGGAAGTGTTTATTTAAATTTTGAATACATTTTTTGAGGTTTTTGTGGTTTACACGATAGTGATAAAGAATATTTCCCAAAATATATTTAGTGTCTTTTCAAACATATAAATAGCGTGAAATCAAGTGCATTATTGAATTATTTGGTTTTTAAAAACGGTTGAATTACAATTACGGTGTTGAAAATTAAAATTTAAAAAAAAATCAAATTTAGATTATTGCATTAAAAAGAAAGAATTTAAGAAAAGTTTAAAATGGAAGTGCCACCACCTTTAGTTTTGAAACGTTCCTTATATGTTCCCAATAAAACTTTGATGGGACCAGGTCCATCAAATTGTTCACAGAGAGTTTTATCTTCTTTAAGTAATCCCGTTTTGGGTCATTTACATCCAGAATGTTTACAGGTAAGTTTTGTTTTCTTTTATTTGAGTGCACATGAGTTAATAAGGACATTTTAAATTAACAAATCTGAAAGTTTTAAAATTACTTTTGAAATCTTAAAAATTTATTTATTATAGGGATTGTTTAGTGTCAAATTAAATTAAATTTCACAAACTTCTCATTTTTATGAATGATTAAGAAGATATACATATAAATTATCTATTCGTAATTAACGCTAAATTATTATATTTTATTATCAAATTGTGCAACGTATTCAGAGATTTAGATTATTTAAAAATTTCATTATCTTTTAAAATTTTACACTTTTATGCATATTTATATTTAAAAAATAGAAAAACATTCTTATCTTGAAACTAATGGTGATTCTGAATACCCCATACGACATTTTGTTTACTATATAAAATATTATATGAAACGTACAATTTGCCTATTTTTAAAATTTTCATCTTACAAAGCTTTTTAGATATCCAAAACATGGTCAAGCTGTTTCTACATACGATTTTAAAATAGTATGTATATAATTATGTACATATGTGTTCAAAAATATCTGAAATACATATGTATATCGCAAAATTTTCCATTTATAATTTAAAAATTTATATCCATATTTAATAAATTTATAATCAATATATTTCACAATTTGCCAATTGTATTTCAAAATTTTAATATTTAACAAGAAGGAAAGTATAGTCGGGCGTGGCCGACCATATGATACCCTACACCAGTTATGAATATTAAATGTGATTTATTTTTCATAATAAAGTATTTATCTTCAATATTCCCTTGTTCCGATATATTTAAGCAATTTATGGATGAAAAATTAATTTTCTGAAAGAGGCTTTATATGGGGGCTAGGGGTAAATATGGACTAAGCCCGATAAAATTTTGTGAATATATTTATATTTACATAATATTTTATTTTGCTGAATTTCATCGCGATATTTGTGTTTATAAGTTAATTTTGGACATTCAAGTAGTTTTCTGAAGGGGACTTTGTATGGGAGCTAGGGTCAAATGGGGCCCGATCTTTATGAAATTTGGCAGGGTCATCAGGACTTCTATTAAACTTAGTTGTGCGGCATTTTACCGATATACCTGTATATTTAACATAATTATGAGCTCAGAAGCCCTTTTCGGGGGGTTCTGTTCTATGGGGGCTAGGTAAAATAATGGACCGATTTTAACCATTTTCAATAGGCTTCGTCCTTGGGCCAAAAAAAGCGTGCATGCCAAATTATCTTGTAAAATGCGACCTGTACCTTGCGCACAAGGTTTACATGGACAGCCAGCCAGACGGACGGACATAGCTTAATCGACTCAGAAAACGATTCTAAGCCGATTGGTATACTTTATGGTGGGTATAGGACGAATATTTTTGTATGTTACAAACATCAGCACAAACCCAATATACCCTCGCCACTAAAGTGGTGTAGGG